ACCTATCCTTTTATTCTATGCTATGCGGTAAAGGTTTCCATTTGGTAAGACTGCGGCGAGTATAGTAAACTACGTTAAATACACATGAAAATAATAGTAAAGCTTTTATCCTAACTGTCTGTTTTAAAAATTCGCAATTAAGAACACAAAAGTACACAAAATGTGGAAGGTAAATGGAAAATCTGGTAGTGAGTTAAGTAAATGTAGAGTTGTTTTTAAGAGTCATTGCACCATGCATTCTGCTTGATGCAATTGCTGGTACCATCTCGGGCCTGCATGTCATCCGACAAAGATACTACGTAAAGGAAGACTTTACCATTTAGGAGTCATAAATAAATAGGGAAAACTCTTCCAAAAAGATATAAATCCAAATGTAGTTAATGATTAGTAAATGTGTATATACAGTGGGATTATTGTGTCCAAAACATTTACCAAAAGTGCTAGACATAGATGAGAAAACAAGTTAATAACTATAAATCCTTATGATTCCTTGCTATGACACCACATTTACGTACGCCCACCTTAAAACTTGTTCATTATTTTTGATTTATTAAACATGACGTGGATTTATACAGCTACCCGGGACTTATCTGAGGGAGAAAGAAGAAAATGTTAGGGTAAAATATATTTTGTCGACATAAAAAAGGTCTGAGGGGCTACTGGCATGGCCCCAGGGCCAGGCCAACCGGCAAAGTAAAATAGTGAAGCCCCAGAGTGGTCCGTTATTAAAATCACGAGTTAGATAATCAACGTGTTTCACAGCTCATCTCCTCTCATAGACCTGCAGCTTCAGTCAGCACAACACAACTGGAACTGTAAGAAAGACACCCACGAGCAAACCGTGTCGCTCATCGAATCGCCATGCTACTGAGAAGAGGCTTGACTGCAACGTCACTAATCCCTCTTGCCAATTCTACGGAATTTGAATTTCTAGTCTGTGGGGAAACTGTATTGGAGGACGTGGAATGTAGTGGCCACCACGCATGTCCATTGCTAGTCGTAGTGGCACTGGACTAAAAGCAAAGTCGAATAACATTGGATGGGGTTTAACATAGTTCCGCAGGGGCAGGGTTCGCTTCTATTTCTCTTTGATACATTGCATTCACTCCAACGTTGCCCATCCACTTCTACCTGGGTTTCAATCCAGCTAGTAGATAGTTGGAGGAGGTATCGCAAGTTCACTTACCCGGTTTCTTTATACAGGCACGTTGGACAGCTTTGCAACGAACTATTCTAGATGGTTCAAGACCAATGTCACTTCAGTTGTTGAAAGCATTCCCGGAGGTCACGGAACTGAGACAGTTGCTAAGGTCAGACGTCATTCTTAACCCTTCTGTTGGGGGTCGTGACAGATTCTCTCATCAGCAGCATATGCACCTCTTCTGCCCCATTAAGGTTTATCATTCAATAATAGAAATCCGGACAGTTGTCCTTTGAGATTGGGTTTGCTTTCCGCTGCTGCCGATGTTGTGCCTCACGTCTTGCCTCAGTACAAAAGAAGATATTGCACCAGGGCAGAAAATGTATGCCCAACGTACAGGAGGGCTTGGGGGCTACTGGCCAGGCCCGAAGGTCAGACCATCTGAAGGAGGCACGATGGCGAAACCCTTAAGTGGCCCCTTTCCAAAACCGAGAGTTAGGCAAACGCTTACACCAAATTAAATACAGAAGTGTGCATAAAACAAAAGAGAAAAAGGAGGGCGCTTGTAATGTGTCTTTTACATAGTGCTACAGCACTTTAACCCTACAAAGCCTAGTATGCTAACAGTTATGAAGCTATTCATTGCAGATCTGCTTCATTCAAAGGCGTCTTCCATAGGCTAGCAAGCTTTTATCGTCCCCTAACATCAGTTGGTTTATTCCCCTGGTTAGAACGAGAGAAGTCTCCAATCGCAAAAGCGACTGGGGTAAGAGTTTTAGGGCCAGTAACATCCATGAAACCAATAGTGGTGATGAAGTTCTACCGAAGTGAATAAAAGTGATAGGCGAAGCGCAGAAGGGAAGACTTTTTTGGACTGCCTAATAACTTCAAGTGGCGCTCATCCCGTCTCACGATTACGACCGTCAGTTAACTCATTAAAATACAAATGGTAACTTCTAAAGTTATGATAAATGGCGTTTCAAATAATAACTACTAGTCTTTTAAGGCACCTCAAAAATTGATGCTAAGTAATGAAAAAGAAGCCAAAATTTTGACGTTAAAATATCTTAATTAATGTCATAAAGTGTATTTAGTGGGTAAAGGGAAAGCAACGAACAATTTTGCAAATCAGTCGAATTATTGTATTTATAGCCCCATATGTTAGCTCACCATGCATTTGTGCTTCTCGAAATACATTTACACTATATCACGATGCTGTAGATGCTCGTGAAATGTTGAAAAGTAAACTAGTAAAGGTCAATGTCCCTTCTCATGTTTGTATTTTGAATTAGCCGTGCCATTCAAAACAGTCTGAGGGTGTTCCAGTAGGTTTCTTGTTAGTGGACTTCAAGAGAAGATAGAGGTGTTAAAAGGTACTGCACCACCCCGAGGCTTCCTTGAAGACAATAGATGACATAGTACTCGGGACAAACATTTACATTCAGCGTGGAGTGGGGTCCGGAGGCCAGCCCACCCGGCTAAGGTACAATGGTGAAGAACCAAAGCGGCCCCTTTACCACAGCCGAGAGTTAAATGAACAACCAACTTATTGCAGGTACACTTGGGTGAGGGTAATGAAGGAAAACATTTGCTAAAGGGAAGGAAATACCCATTTTTGTTACCTTTACTGACTACAAATCTCTATCAATAATACAGTGTTCTCATAAACAGTCGGTAAAAGGTTAGAGCTTATGAGAGAACTTCAGTTTTTTCATTTTTAATTGGCATTTACACAATTATAGATTCAGCTGTAAAAGTATCGAGTTCGGTACAATTTCTCAGAGTTTATGCTTTAATTTTTGTGCATTTGCAAGAAGCACAACTGCTACCCAAATTAGTATTATAAATAAAATTTTTTGGAAAGCTAAATAAGTCAGAAATACGCTTGAATCGAAAACAAATGAGGCGGGATGCACCACTGCCCTTGTTAGGAAAAAAGACAAGTCCTCCTTCAAGTAGGTTAAATGCAAATACTCCATGGCAATCTTAGCCTGAAGTTGGAATTATTCATTTTTTTTCCCTAGATTTGGAGTCAGGCGACACGCCACAGCGAACTTACTTAGCCGTGAATAGGCACAGCCGCATATTTGGTGTGGTAATAACTAATAAAAAAGAATAGACAATTAGTTCAGTGGTGAGTACTTAAATTTTTGTGAGGACGATGGAAATTTTTTACTTCAAGCCTGAGAGCAGTAAGCAGAATGTGTTGCCACTCTTCACCATTCGTTCTCCTTTATGGGTTTCACGATGCTGCCACTCATGGATATTTTCATGACTAAATCGGTTCGGATATGTGACAAATGGGGGAATGATACTGTTTCGACAAGGTAATTATTTTATTGCCATTATAAATAATGCATTATGTGCTGCCAATACCGTGATGTGAAGCGGGGCGAAACGAGAGTTCAGCATCTAAAAGTTAAGTTAAAATATAGGCATTGTTTTAATGCTGTACAGTTCTGCACGACAATTGCGGGTACGCCTTTGCAGCATACCTTACTAACTGTTCGTCATGTTGGATTTAATAGCAATGAATTTCGTCGAACCGTTGCCATCTTTTTCACTAAATGTCACAGAATAGCACATATTTTCTGTTAACTGACCCCTAGCAACCGCAAAAGCGATTCCATCCATCATCGATAAAAAGGAAACACTTAAATTCTAGTGCTATAATAATTCGACACTAACGTCCCAAAGTATTACAACTAGAATAAATCAAGCAGCTAAATTTACACCGAGACGCAAAAATAAAAAGAAAAGATTCAATTTCTCTCAAGAAACTCTTGAGGATGCAACCTATAAGCTTAAGTCTCTATCAAACAAATGTTTTTACTTCAGCAATATTTGCGTAATAGTGCTGGGGAATATAAGGGGCTCAAACTTAGAAACACATCTAAAGGAGAAAAAGGAATAAGGCCTCCACGAAAGTGAATCCGATGAAGAATTGTATTTCAGCACAGTTAGGCATTCCACAGTAGCAATGGGAGAGACAATAGTCATGAAGGAAATCGGGCATCTTGGTGGCCACCACATGTACTCAGTAATTTGCATGCATTTTGTCTCCTTTCTTTTTTCACAATTTACCCAAGCAAAATTGTTCTCACGTGCAAGAAAGGCCGAAACAAAAAGCCGATTGAATAAAACCAAGGTACAAATCACCAATCCCTTTTGTCTTTGGAATGCGTCGGGGCAGTCTTATACTATCTTAGCATGAAAACACAATACGTAACATTTTATCACTTTTTAAGGCAAAACTGCTTAAGGACGGTATCATCCAGGAAATTAAAAATACCCCCTTTGATTTAGCCAATACTGGCGCTACGGATAACAAGTTTGGCTCCAAAGATTCGTGTTAGTTTATTTTATGTAAAATTAAATGTACCTAATGTAGGGTCTTTCCTGAAGTCGTAAGGAGTCATAGCTAGATAGCAGAAAATGCATTGTCGACCGTACAGGCGGGCCCGCGGCTACTGACATGGCTCGGAGGTCATGCCGCTCAGCGGAAGAACAAAACTGATTCATTTAATATCGTTGAAATCATAACAAGGAGTGAACTAAGCATTCGAGGTAGTAGATGTATGTTAATTAATACTAAAAAAAATGTGCTTTAGCTGTAAACTATTTCACATGAACGAAAGCGATTCGAATCCATGCTTGCTATGAGAATTTTCTTGAAATCTTCACCTCAAGTGTCGTTTAGATTTGGAGGAAGAATTCCTATGATCCCAGAATTTAGTGGAGTGGGAATTTAATGGCCAGAAAACCTTAATGACTCCAAGGTTAGAAAAACACCCTTCACTTCTCAACACACGGTTTTAGTTGGTTTTATTAACTCACTCAAGCATGCGGCAAAACAGTGAAACCTTCAACAGATCGTATTACTGTAAGTAAAATTCATCAAATTGACTCCATAAAGACACCTCACCAGTCAAAAGCATAGATTTGGCGCAATAAATTGGGAGATTAGAATACGTGTTAGTAAGATGTAATACCAGAACATAAAATGTACTGTTGGCAGACGAAAGGGCTGGAAGCTGCCGGCTAAACTGGAGGCCATACCGCTCAGCCGAGGTATTTAAGCAAAAACGAAGAAACAAACAAACAATTAAGGCATCAAGTAGCCCCTTTTCCTTTTAAGCATCGTCTTCAGCTGTCTCTTCGGTCAATCTTCCACACCAGCTATCACAACGTGGGCGTTGGTGTAAGAAAAACACCCACGAGCCAACCGCGTCTTTCATCGAAATTGTGTACAGCTTGAATGATATCTGACTGCAACGTCACTGAGTTGCCCTGGCGATTTCACGAGATCTGGTATTTCTTTTTGATTAGGGACTCTATTTGGGAAGGGGACCTGTGCGGCCCATCAGGCATGTCCATCTCTAATGGTAAGAGCACTAGCCTAAAATCAGAGTCCTAAAACAAAAGATGTACTTTAACATAGTTTCTTAGGCCTAAGATTTCTTGTTTATTACTCCCTGCTGCTTTGTTCTCATTTCAGTGCTGCATAGACGTATATCAACCTGCTTTCTATCCAGCTAGTGGAGAGGTAGAGGAGGCACCGAATGTTCACTCATTTGGCTTCTTCATACAAGTACTGTAGATAGCTTCCTAACGAACTACTCCAGATGGTGCTCGGCAAGTATCGCTTCCACTGTTGGTAGCATTTCTGTAGAAAACGGAACTTGGGTAGTTACTAAGGTCAGGCATCATTTTTAGCCCTTTTTTGGGGGGTCGTGACTGCTTCTCCCCCCTTACAGCACACACCCTTCTTCCGTCATATTACAATTTAACATTTGGTAGTAGAAATAGGGATAATTGTCCTTTGGGATCGGTTTGGTTCTTTCTACCGTTAATGCAGTTTCTCAAGACGATCTTGAAGACGAAAGAAGATACGATACTGGGACAGAGTAGGTATTATTGACGTACAGAAAGGCTGGGGGCTACCGGCATGACCCGAAGGCTATTACAAACAGCTGAAGTAGTGTTTTAAATGACCTTAAAAACAAAACGATGTGTTAAACAACGCATGCAACATAAATATGCCGTATGTGTTGTTGTCTTTTCTAATCGAATTTTGACTAAGCTGTTTGATAAGGCTTTCTGATCATGACATCCGATTGTTTGGTCCAATGAATTTACTCTTTTGTTCCCAGAAAAATAATTAGGTGCCCCGACTTTCCCGCATGCGTCCATTTCGTAGGGCTATTAAACAGGTATGCTGTTTGTAGACTTTTGAAAAATGGTTAAATGCTTAGACATCCTCTCTCACTGGTTAGCATTGTTCTCTCGCTGAAAAAAGACTGAAGAGTGCTTTCTATTGTGTGAAGACAATTCCCTTTTTAGAAGACCTATAGAAGTTAGTCTGAGGCATGGATGTCATTTCCACTCATTTTAACATATTTGATAACATTTCGAAATTGACTGCAAACGTGGAAATGGTACACTTAATAGCAGGATGGGATGCATAAAATCTCCATTTATCCATCAAAATGGACAAATGTTTGGTGTTGACGAATCGAGAACTTTCGCCTGTTCAACTTGAAGTACCCATATACAGGCAGTATGTAGTGTTATTTGCTCCAAATCGGGAACTGCACTATCCTTTCATTTATATTCTAGCAGATTAAAGTGTGGTACCAAATAAAAATAGTGATTATTGTATTGCTCGTGAGACCCATCTACCAATCCACGCAAGTGCGTTCTAGGTGCATAAGCCTTCCGCCTTATTTTAGCTCCCTTATAAGCACTACAATAATCAAGTTTATATTTCATCGTTTGTACCACTGCTTCTAGTTAGTACAGGTCTTTGATCTACTAGAAAATGGATGAAATTAGAACGATTCCCTGTGTGAAAAAAACCGACTCCGCATTATGTCTGTACGTGAGTATTCCGCGTTAAAGCAGCCAAAATTCACAATTCGTTATTACTAAATTTATGGCTAATTTGATCTGTAAATGAGATTTATGCATCTACCCATATGTCTTTAGACGTATAGACTTGGCGAACCTTTGGGAAGAGGGATCCGCCCCTCCGCTCCCGATGCGGAAGATCCGTCGCAGCAGGAGCGAAGGCGGCCAAATCCATGACTGCGTTTTTGCTGCTGGTTCGGTAGTTGAAGAACGAGACGCCACACAAAAAAGGTAGGAATCGTAGGAAATGAGAATAGTGTAATGGAACTCATTTTCTAGCTATAACTGCGATACCTCATTACCCTATATAGAGAATATTAAAGTACTACCAACTTAAAATAGTGACACCAACAATGCGATTTAACTTAGATTACTGTAGTGCTTGTAGGAGAAGCAATGGAGAGTGGAAAGATTGTGCATTTGGAATCCATTTGGATAGAATGGTAAAGAGCTCTTACAAAAACCTGGAAAATTTTTACACGTATTCCTTTTTGCAGATATTAATTACATTTCCCGATTAATTTGAACATACATTTGCTCATTCTACTATTAAAGTGTTTGAAAAATCTAGGATTCAAAGAACAAAATAAATATATTGCTATGTCTGTAACGCCGATTCAATAGGAGACTGGAAACGTTTTTTACTCACCACACCCAACACAGACAAAATGGCACCTCATTATTCTTTTAAGAAAGAAATGTAGAGCAAATCATTTTTTATGAGTCGAGGATTAAAATAGTTTTCTGCTGAATTTTGTCTAGTTGGGTTAATAAACGATGGTCGGGATTGTGATAATTACCTTTTAGGATGGCTGAACAGCCTTTGAAATAAGGTCAAGCGACTAGTTCCCCTTTCTTTGCATTTCACTACGGGGTCATATAGCTGTGATTAATGTAACGCAGTCTACAGTCATACTTGTGGCTCCGAAGAGAAAGAGGCATATTCCCCAGCACAAATTAAGTCTGAACATATGCTGCTTATTTTTATAAAAAGAAAAACGGCCCTCGTTAGTCTGCCATATTTCAAACTTTGAACCAAAATGGGAATTGTTATTTAAAATATCCTTTAAACCCTCATTCGTATTTATCTAAATGAGTAAATAAAGAACACTGCATATTACTGCTGTGGCTGCACCATGATAAACCACACTTTTAATTGCTCATCTTGGTAGGCATCTGATGATTATCTATTAAACCCCTGAAAGAGTGCCCTCGGAATTTATTTTAAAGCCATTCACTCAAGATTGACACAACGACATCAGGTGGGCATTTTATTTAAACAATAAATGCAGATGGAATCCAACACCTCTGCCGATTTAATGGTGCCTGACTAGATATTTCTTACTCGAGGTTTAAACAGTAAAAGAATTAATTCTTACAACACCTGAAAGCGTTCTTGTTTCGATTTTCTAGACGTTTCCGTTTTCACTCACTCATGGTTGGCTAATATTACGTTAAGTGCGCTACTACCTATTATAAGGCCAAGGTCAATCAGTCGTTATAAATACCCAAGACTGAGACCACCTTTTGCCTTGGGTATCCTCCACCACCCAACCACTAGACACGTACGCACTCACCTTATGCCATTTGTTTACCCATGCGTGTCGGTAATGTAGACATAAGTACCAAAGCCCCGTCTACAGATCACTCTGGTTAAGGCCTCAAAAAGGATTAAGCTCACCCACATAGACATTCAGGTCATAAGCGATTTGGTCTGATTTTTTATTCCTTGACTAATTTTGGGACGCATGATATTTTGGAGGTACTTTCTTGCAGGCTCCTCATTTTTCAATAAGGAATTTTTTCTAGTCCACTTGTGCATGAAAACTCACATATGTACACAGTGAGAAATCAAATAACACTTCTCTCGACTTCACTTATAGGGTAAGAGGAAGCCAGAGCTTCAATGTGGCTCTTCAAATTTATGATGTTTCCTTCGTAGTCCACTCTATTAGTGATGATTGCAATTTTGTCCACCCCGAATGATGGGAAAAAGGAAACAGCCTGACATGATCAAATCCCACATTCTCATTCGTGCGTTTTACCCAATTAATTTCACCGCAATCGGCTCACAGGGAAAATTAGTCGAGAAATATATTAAATCAAATTGTTAATTTTATAAAATACAGAATGTTTATGATGAAGGAAAGTGGCCCGAAAGGCAACAAAACTACTTCAATGAAATAGAGCACTATATGCGGCCGAGCTTTGAAGATTGTGACATTTGGAGAAAAAGTATACCAGGCCTGACATTTAAGTAAACAATGGAACTGGTTGCTGATAAGAGACAGAATTGGCTTAAATGTCTTTTTTTGCAAAAAACGAAGATACATTATTGCCTACCCAACCATCGCTATGTGCTCATTCGCCAATGACGAGTGCTGCAAAAACAAATGATTGAGGCGAAAATGCGAATGGGTTCCCAAATACTGAATTAAATTAGCATCTGGGATAAGTTCAAAATCAACAGGAGAGGTGGTGTCCAAATTGACAAAAGGCGAACGTAAATAACAGCGAGAGTTAGTTCAAAGCATTTCATACTGCTGAATATCGAGATTTCATAATACCAGGCCAGAAAATGAGTCTTTGACTTATGGAAGGATTAAGCGGGGCGAATGGCACGGCTTAAAGTTCAATTAGACCAGGAGAAGTACAGTGGTATAGCCTTAAGCCTAGTATTACATGGCTCACCTCTTTCATTGAGCGTAGCCCCCGATGCTCTCCTTGGTCAGCCTCCAGCGACGGCCAAAACGATGCAGTCGGTGCTCCAGGCAGACCCTCACAAAGCAACCAACTGCGCCAATCATCAAATTTGCGTACGAATGAGAAGGTATTTGATCGCAACACCAGGGGTTTTCACAGATTCTCCTATCCACAGCATACACTCTTCGTCCTTTACGTTGAGGTTTAGCGTTTGGAGACGGAAATCGAGGTATTTGTTCTCTAGGGTAGGATTCGCTTTTCATTATCAATGCCACAATGCTAGGACAGACAATGTATAACCAACATGCAAAATCGGCGAGGGGCTACCGCCATGGTCCGAAGGCCATGAATACCAGTGGGGGCGCAATGGCAAGGCCTTAAGTGCCTGTTTTATCAAAACGAAGAGTGAAGTACTACACTAATTTATTGACTAAAATAGTAACGGTAGAACAGCCCTATGTGAGAATTCACCCAATTAATCAAAACTTCATGGCAAAACCTGTCAGGATAAACGCATAAATTAACGTCAATATTTTACATGAACCCTTAAAAACGGTATTTAGAAAATACTGGTTTTTATAAGGGCAATTTATGTTGATTTCATTGTGTCAAGGTCTGTAGGAAGCAAACCTTATTCACTTAACCTTAAAACCGAACTGCGTGGAAGAGAATGTTCACTACATTGCTCTTTTTTTTGATGACTGGATGAATAAGATCGGCGCAGGTCTAAAAACTGTAAGTTTTAGAATATTTTCAAATCTATCAAAGTGGTATTTTTCGGGGGTTGTGAATTGTAACGTAACTTTGCAAACTACAGTGTGTCTCATTAGGCTATTGTGTAACGAGTGTACAGTTTTTATGTCTTTTTCTCAGTGAGGCCTTCTGGCGCCATTGTTCATACGACCATCTTAAGGGTAAGGCCGGAAGGCTGTCTATAGTTTTCCAGCTCATTGTTAACCCAGTAATAAACCCCTTTTCAACGTTTGTATGCTTTGTTAAGGGTCTAGAACAGACCCGGAGTACAACAGTAAAAAGAAGTTTCATATGACTGAGCAGATGTTAATGCTCCTATCAAGAAAAATGTCCCCAAAATATCGTGAATTTTACATCTGTTCTGAATTCATTGTTGTCCAAAATTCTTAAAATTGTTAAAAAACCAAAATTTAATTTTAACGTGGTCAGTACGAGAAATGGCCGTACATATATAATCTTTCGAGAGCGAGATTACTTGAAGAAATATAAAATGTCTATGGGAAGAGAGGGCTAAAATGGCGACAGCTGTTGTGTGGAATGACAGCCTGGAGACACCTCGTGTTTAAATGACAAAAGAGAACATGTGTTTATTGTAAAATACCGAGATATTCCCGCATTTAACAAAAGAAAGTCAAGTGGGATGCAGGTGGGGCTATGCCAAACACCACTTTATTTTGTATGACGAAGCTGCTTGATTGTCGCATGACTGAATCTAGATCCTGTGATATTGACAACCAAATCATCACTTACTTTGTCATGGAGTGGAAGAGGACCTGATAGCTCACAGTAAGCATGACTAAACAGTCCTCCAGATCTAGTCTCTGGTAGCACGAGCACATAAAGATTCAGGAATTCCTACTTCTTCTTCCACTAATTTTGCTATTTTTCGACCACAAATGAATGGATATGCTAGGTGTTAGTACACTTTACTGTAATAAAATTTTATTAACCAGTTTTACACTACTGATATACACACATTTTACAGAATAACTGGTTATATTAATTTTCTAGCTACTAATCCCTTAAAAAACTAGTCAAATTAAAGGTTTTAGGAATATTTTATGGAGAAGTTATCATAGCATCCTGTTATAAAGCGGGTAGGAATAAAAAAGTCATTGGGAATTTCCTGTTAGGTAAGGGCATCAACGATAAAAAAGTGGACCAAGCCTTTAAGCTACCAAGCAGGAAAGGCACTTCTGGTACTTGAGGAAAAGAGACAGAGCAAAGCAGTCTAACGAACAAAAATAACAATAAAATTTGTAAAGTTGGTTTAGAATAAGGTCCTCCTTTCAGATGAAATTTCCTGCAGCCATAAATTAATATCATCTCCTGCATAGCCGAGAGTAGAAACAGATATTTAACGCACTTGATTCTTAGACGCGTTTCAGGACGACGCTTTTACTCTGCGAGGCGTTGGTAAATTAACGTTGACGGAAGTAAGCCCTGAGCTTCAACAAAAAAATGGGCTTTTTTGAACAACTCATAATTAACCTCCCCTTCAGAGTAAACGTAAATCATGATGGTGGAGTCCATCAAATGCTTTGGCTCCATACTTACGGAAGTGTTCTGCATGAATTAATTAAAAATTTAAAAAATAACTTTAGGTGTGGTCACTTAAAGTTAAAAGTCCGAGGCATTTTTTTTGTAGCTGAAAACTCATCAAGTACCCTTGGGTAAGTGTCACCATAAAAGGGAATGTATGGAATTAAATTCGAAATATTGAGCACCATTGAAACTTTATGCCCGGAAAAGGAATTACATCCATTATACCCGCGAAAACTCAGATTGATATATCTTCTATATTAAGTCGGTGTTAATGCACTCGACCCCTTAGATCGGTTTTGTAAGTGGTGAATGGTAAGGCCAAGAACTCCTGGTCCCATTTAAATTTCACTATTAATAATCAACCACCAGATCCCTATTAAAGTGCTCTTAATGCATGGGCTGAAAACAACAGATTTTTACCAAAACCACCTAGTTTTAACTCCAGCAAAGGCAAGAACATTTCTGCTTGACAAAAAGAGGGGTTTTTAAAAATGATAAAACAAATAAAAACTAGCTACGAATAACTATACAATTTTATGTAAATGCTACCGTGTATTATGCAGGATAGTTGCTTTGCTCGGAGTAAAACCGGAATTGCCAAGATTTTGGTCTATTGTTTTCCATTCTACCCTGAACAATGGTGGGAGTCTCATTTTATAACTTCTCATACATTAATCTAAATGAAATTAACAGAAGCGGTTTAATGATTCTGAGGAAACCATGTTTTCTCTTCTTCAAACTCCAACATTTAAAATCAGTTTAGACCTCTGAATTGGAATGGACACACTTAAAGGTGATAGGAGTGACTTTAAGGCAACTCTGATTTGATATGACACCAATAACGCAAACTACTAAAGGCTTAAATGCGTTATTCTCTGTATAAATAACAAGGAATTTGACTTTTGCTAAGATAAGTAGCTTTTCATGGCAACGTTTCATATTAAGATATTAATACGAGGGGTATGTTATGATTGAGTAAATATTACTATTGCATGTCTACAGAGTCAAACAGACCTATCCTTTACAGGCAAACAAAAGGCAAAAGCTTAGGGGTATTTGAAATGACTATATTTGGATAGATTCATGCTTTCAAAATCATAATACTTGTCAGAGCTCTCATGACGGGAGGGGGGTTTTAACATGCATGCACGGTACTAAGTAACTTGAAGAGTTAAATGAAGGAAAAAGTACGAACAAAGCTGTGGTCTAAATTTGGCACCACTCATTGTAATACTGCCAAGGGAGCAATCATTGAGAAAGAACAAGCTATTTAAATATTGAGAAGGCAAGAGAAAGTTTCCTTTCCCTCCGGCTACTTGTCATTCAGCAATCAAAGCCACTCTTATTGGTTCTGTCAGTTAATAATTTATGCATTTTTAATTCGGACAATTCAGTCCCGTTAATTGCTTCTAAATGCTCTGGATAATTTGAAAACAGACAGGAAGTGTACGAAACGCGCTCCAGATACCATCAATCAAGTAGTACCAGAGGTTAAAGATCCTGGCAATTTACAGGAGTTAACGCATTAGGCCCAATACTTCCCTTTGGAGAGTATGGTTCATTTTTTTGAAATAAAAACTGGTTTAAGAATAAAGAATTACTCTTTAAATAAGGGTCTAAGACATTACCTTCAATTTAAATTTCTCAGGATAAAATAATTCTTTATTTAGGAGAATTAATCACGTTTTGTTCCTAAGTTTTATTTGAACACAATGTGAAAGATGAGTAACGACGAAATCAAAGGGGCAACCTGAGTAGCGAGCCACTGTAAAATTTAGGTTTTATTCTTCACCATTCACCTTTCGGGATTCAGGTTCCACAAACACGTGTTCATGTGGTACTCCAAACAGTGGCGTTGCTTCTTCCCTTGGTGTACTAAAACGTAAACCAAGTTCTGTTGAATTGTACGCAAAATGTGAACAATTTCCACCACCACATATTATAAATAAAGCTGTATGCTCAAAGTATCAGTACAATAAATTCAAAAATGCCAATCCAACACTCTAAAATAGGGAAATCACAATTTATCTATGACAGTAGAGTGCAAACGATGCTTAAGTGGTGCAGTTATCTCCTATAATTCCAACAATTTTCTTGGTTGTAATGATAAAACTTTATTATTTAACTTCCGTGAAGTTACACTTCTGAAATGAAGGTGAAAAATGGGAGGTTTTGGTTTTGGCAAAAAAAGCTTCCTACTTAAAGTACGATATGAAGGGGAGTCTAATAAGAAAAACTGCTGCAGAGAGGGTACAAGTCCCATACTTCATCACTTGGCTTGCTCATTTAAAGTCAGTTTGACAGGATACTACGACAAGACTAAAAGTGCTCTCCTCAAAACTCTGGACAAATCTTCATATGTGTTGCGCAAAATATTTCGCTTAGGTGTTTTGAATGCAGATGCTTATGATTCATTTACTTAGAACCCACTATAGCCACATTGCTAGCATATTTTTGTGAGTTCAGGGCTTCAATTTCGAGGCTATAAATGCGTCCAGTTTTTTGGGGCACTGGCCCCTTAAGTCCTCCCTAATGCATTGAATACAGCACTTTTAACATTTTTTCAACTCTTAGTTTTTGTGACGGACCACTTAGGATCTCCGCAATTGTACCTTTGCCGGATGGGCTAGACTCCAAGCCATGCCATAAGCCCAAAGCCCAACCGTAAATCGGATATGCATATTTTGTCTGAGCATCATGTCCGCTTTTGTCTTCAGAGAATTTTTAGAGTGCTAAATTGGCGGCAGCGGAAATAGAAACCCATCTTAAAGGACATCTATCCTGATTCCAATTGATAAATAATAGACCTTAACGGGGCAGAAGAAGGGCGTATGCTGCCGATGGGAGAATCAATGACGATCCCTAACAGAAGGGTTGGAAATGACCAACTTCAGCGAACACTCCAGCCCCTTGCTTTAAAGGAATATTATTAAAAACTGAGGCGATAATAGTCTTAAATCATCAAAAATGGTTCGTTACGGAGTTGTCTACCATTCCTATATGGCAACTTCAGTTCTGTGAGCTCGCGGTGCCTCCTCCACCTCTCTACTAGCTATATAATGCCTAGACGGATGTGAATATACTGTACTGAAGTGAAAAAATAATGGCAAGGAGAGCTACAGATGAAACGTTACTTTCACGGAACTGTGTTTAATTTCGTCCTTTGTCTGAAGACCCTGCTTTTATGTCAATATTCCTACGACTATGGACATGCGTGATGGTCAGCACATTCCTATGTCCCCTAATCCAGTTTCCATGCTAAACGAGGCTTTAGATTTAGTGAATTTGCCAAGAGGGATCAGTGACGTTGCGATCAGACATCTTTTTAGCTGTACGCAAATTGGTTGACTAATGGGGTCGGTTCATGGGCGTTTTGCTAACAGCGCTTATCCCCATTGTGACGGCCGATGCTGCAGGACGGCCAAGGGGAGTGCCAGGGATGAAGCTCAAAAAAGGGAAGGGATTATGCAATAGTTTAGCCGTTTATTTAACTCTCAGTTTTTTTAACGGACCGCTTAGAGCTCCGCCATTGCACCTTCGATGAATCGGCTGGCTTCTGGGCCATTCCAGTGGCCCCAAGTACTATTGTCTGTCGATAATACATATTCCTCCACAGTATCATGCCTTCTTTCGTCTTCAAGGAAGTCTTGGGATGCTGCATTAATTTGCATATTAATTCTAGGATCACAGACTACGCAAGATATTTTGAGGACTAAAATGTCTTTCTGAGAACTTAATCGCAAAATGTATGCGAGAAATGTAGATCAAAATCATATAAGGCTATGCTCTCGATTACAATCTTTGATTATAACACTCGAACTAATTTTACGGCTGCATAAATTGTACACCTTGTGAATGGATCCTACCTTGAATATTTACAAGAAACAGAGCCTTGCAATATTCCCACCTCGTACAACTTCCTTCCAGAAACTAAAATACGATATTTTATCGTAGTGACAGAAAATAGCTGGTAAAGTTTGAAGCGAAAAAAGAGTAGGGATTCGTATCCATCATATACTGAGTTGGCACGATGCACACAAGGCTGTGAATAGGTGAAATGGTCGCGAAGAAACGAAAAGTTCCTACTGGACAGCGCCAAATATAAATTTGATTGGTCATCGTGTTTCACCCCTTTAAAGTAATTTTGTAACGTGGTCAAACATGTTACCCTGTAAAAATATTCTCAAGCATCACCGGATGAAAGGGTCCCAAAATTCAGCAATGTCTAGGTAGACTGTGCGGACAGTTCGACAATGGAAATGCGGAGTGTATACACTTTACTTCTGTCTTTGCAGATCGCATACACCTTTTCACTTGAAGTGGCAGAAAACCGTACGTTCTTATAAGTTTATTGCCATCATCTTTAAGTACATTTTCCTTATTCTCTTCGCAAAAAAGTTTTGATGCTAGTTGTTGAATGCATCACAGTTCTTTGGGTACGACTAAACGAAGTAGGTTGACTTATAAAGTGGCAAATGAAGATTACACAGCTGGCAGCAATTATCATTATTTCCAGCTTTCTTCAAGCTTAGAAAGCAAAGTAACCCAGCATTTTCATTAGGAAATACACCTTGTTCTGGGAAATAATTCAGTTGAAGACCTTTTTCCTTAATTTTAATCCACTTGAGCGAACTCTTGACTAACATTCCCAAGTGAGAGGATTGGATTTTAAGCTTGTTTTTGAATATTATTTTGCCAACTTTATCTTAAGTGTTGGACAAAAAAATTAGGAAAAATGTCCACTCTTGGTAACTATTTCAGGGTGAATGAAAATTACTAAAGAAATTAACAAAGAGATCATTTTAAGCAATGCCCTACATTTGAGTCTTTTTCGACGATACCGAAATATTTAGCTCTACTTTATATACTAAGTGTTCCTTATTGGATTAACCAGAAATAAAATAGTTCGGGGAAGCCTACGGTAGAGTAGACAATCCTTTTTCCGATATATGATTGTGTGAGGTGACAATACTGACACATCTTACTCCATTGGCAATGCGATTTCCAAAGCCTTGGAGATAATTACTGCAAAATACTGCATTGTCCTTAAATGTACCGACCCGTGGTGTGGGTATTTCAAACAAAAGTCGTGGTATCATCTCCTACGCGGGATCATTTATCTGAGCGGTCAGTGCGATGCTACGTAGATATTTGACTAGTAACATCGTGGTCTGCATTAATAAATACGTTTCTAAATGGCAATAAATAATTGCTCATTATCTTGACAGGTACATCGTTTACACGACATACAACAGCACTGCAATTTTTCTCACAGTTACTGCTCACTGCGCAGAAAATATGAAAGATGGCTTAATAGATCTCGCATGCAAGTAACATTAATATCCAAGTTGGTTTAATGATAAGAATTCCCATTTGGATTAAATGGCAATGCAAGCATCATGTTTCATAATTAGAAGCTCCGTTTTAGAATAAATAAGCAAACTGCGGTTTCTGATTTTGACAAATAATGGAGTATGAAAAAAGTGTAGTGCCCTAAGACTTCCATGAAGACAAAGGAAGACATAATGCTCGGGCAGAATATGCATTGCCGATGCACGGGGGGAGGCTGGTGGGAGAAATATCGGCATGGCCCGGAGGCCATGTCACTCGGCGTAAGTAAAATGGCCGAGTCATTCAGTGTCCGCGTGACCAAAACGGCGAATTAAACAATGCACAGAGAAAGTGTTGCCGTCTAGACGCTGCTTAATAGCTCATGAGGTTTAAAACCATATTTATTTATGGGATTGTGACATTTCTGTATTGTTTTTTTGCATTGGAAGAAAATGATTAGTATTAACTTGAAGTTTGAATACTTTGCGGAAACTGGGCTGCTAAAAGGCTGGAAAATTCTTACACTTAGAAATATTTCAGTGTTAATTCAGCAGGAAGCATTTTATTCAAAGTACGTCATAATTTGTTGAATTTTTGCGCAATTCTAACTGCTTTAAAATGAATGTATTTCTAATAAGATGGCACAGTAGTTAAAATTAGAAATAGCCCAAGACTTGCGAAAAAGGTGCATCTCGAAGGCTGCCAAGTTTGAACTGAAACAGGCAGTGCTTCTGGACTGTATCAGGCTAGATATTGCCAAATTTGGGTTGAAAATTGTTTGTTTTATGTCCCAAAATTTGATATTTTAGACCGTATTTAATTTTTTTTCCAATTTAGCCGCCAGGCTAATTTCTCAACAATCATTTTCCATTCATGATTAGACGAGTGTTCGATTACTTACAAGCATGCATATGTTAGGTGCTTAAATTTTTCTATTAACTTGCAAGGCTTTCCATATTTACTCAGTTTCTTCTGTTTTTATCTAACCACAAACGCGTTAGACGGCGAATAATTCCTTTTTCTTTGTATGTGAAGCCGCATTTCGAAGGATACCATCAATCATATACACAAACGATTATTAGCGAAGCAAATCTGGGAAATGCAAATTTTGTTGACATTCTTACGGCTGCCTTCGAGATTGGTACAACGTGTGGCCGCTTGATTGACTTCTTCTGGGCGGTGCAGACGGTTGACTTGTCATGTGAATAGAATGCACACCAAAAAAGTCTGTTGGATGGTCACAAAAATCTCCCACCTTCATGGCTGTTTGCGCAGTACTTCTGAATTTTATATGGAGGAAGCATGCAATTCGACCTCTTAAAAGTAATCAAACAATACACAGTTAGGTCATAGGGTGACTTCACATAAATCTGGAAGCTTATTTCACTGCATCAAACCCTGTAAAGCATTTAAAGTTCCATTTTTCTTCTGTAACTGCGCATTTTTTAGAGTACACCCCTATTTTCTTTTGCAGGTGAAGAAGGGTAAATTAAAAATACCGTGTGTTTATCGCCCAATCGGGATGCAGAAAAAGTGGTGCGGTGGCCGCATTACACCGTTTTCACAATGATATTTAAGGAATGTATTTTTAGATGAAAATACCCTTAGACTAATCAAAAGAAACCATGGATTTGCAGTGGTCTTTATGCAATCAAAGCCTTGTTGGCGCACGTGTATGAATTTGCCTTAGTAGCCCAGTTAATCATGAGTGAGTTAGTGAAGGAAATGTAAACAAGCTCCCCGTCTTGGGCAAATAGACAACTAATGTAAACAATGAATGAGTATAACACGACCTTCCTCGAAAGCTTTATTGAGGCTGGTACCCCGATAGGAGCTAATTAATTTTAAATAGCCCCCTAAATAATTATTATTTTGATAAAAGGGTGAGAAGGGACAAATCATGGCGTGACAACAGTGGGCGTCTTAAATAAACATGGACTCAAAAATTAACTTTCCCAAAAATTTGGCTCCACACATTAACTCCGGTGTTGGCTTCTAAATTCCACGCCTGATTCAAGTTAGTAGATTAGAAGTGAGTCCATCAACTCCTTTGACCCGGCATCCGAAAGCAAGTCGGTTTAAATTTCAAGCTTTGAAATTTTTTGACAAGATATTCAAACACGCCCGACAAGGATAAACTAAAAACCCAAAATGCGAGTCTTCGAGAACAATTGCCTTGCAAAATATCCACCATTTTTCAGCATTGTTAAGGACTATGGACAGCTTTTCAGCCCAAACTCATTTGTTACACATTCCATACGCTAGTTGGAAAAATTTCAGCAAGGGATGCTAGTGCCGAAAACGAACATAAGTTAGAAAGGTTAAGAAATTGCGCATTTATTCCAGGAAACGTCCAATGAGCGCAGTTCCTTAAAACAATTTTATATTAGTGGATATGACTTTGCAAAAGTAACAAATATCTAGCAAGAGGTATGACAAGTGATTGCATAGGTAGTTAGTTTACTAAAGAAAAAGTAATCTCATATATGATAGATTGTCTGCTACCTTAATAAGGGGTAAATGCATATCAGCGTGAATTTCATGTCATAATTAATCTTGGAAAATCTGTGAAGAGAATAAATTTGTGCTGCCAATTTATGAAGTGGAAGCAACAATGCGTGATCAAATCACTTGCGTACAGACAGACGCTTCCAACTCACTTAATTTTATCTTGACTGGAAGGGATTTAATGAAAATTAGTTCTGCATATTAAAATCGAAAAAAAAAACATCGCAAAGCAAAAAATGTCCTTTTTTAGGACTTACAAAACAAATTAGGATCAAGTCAGACGATCTACTTCAGACGCAGGCAGAGGAAGTTACCGCTGAAGTCAAGCATGGAGAACACAGGCAGTATTTTGTGGTAGGTTGCACTTTTTTAAGAGGTCATGCACCTGCTTCGATGTGTCAAGAATAGCTGCATCCATTTGACATTTTCTTTTGCAACGGGAAAGTCTTCATTTAATTCTGGTTTTATATCTAAGTACTTTTAAATGGTAGTACGAAGTCAACAATAAAAAAGGGAGTTTCACCTGTTTTTGCCATTGTTTTGAGGCAATAAATTCATTTCCCTACGCACCTGTACTTGACCATTCATGAGTTTCTGTAACTCTGCAGTTAGATTTACAGATAAAGGCTCAAAAATTATTAAGTGCTCAGTAATTTCCTGTCCTTGAATGCACAATGTAGGTAGAAAAAGGATAATGCATCTCTAAAAATGATTAATTATTTTTTGCATGGGAAGTTGGAAAGACAAATAAATACAATCTTTTTTCCCTATAGAAGGTGCACGAACCCACCATAGTCCAGTTTTGTCACTTAAGCTAAGTAATACCTGCAATAGTATTTGTAGCCAATTTACAATTCTATCCTACCTATCGCCTGCCTAGTACGGTGATATTCTAATCGGTGCAGTAGTAAACGTTGTGCAAAGATTATATTACCACTAGAATCAGAACTTTATTGTTTTAAATTAAATTATCCCAAAAGATTCAATAAACAATGCCCTCATACTCTCGTAAGGCACCTGCTCACCCTGAACAGATATTTCCAAGTTGACATCTTCAATTGTGCAGGATTGCAGCAACATAAATCCGTATTGTGCATAATTTTAGCTGCGTAAATCGGGCGTGTTCATTCTGCTCAACATTACTAGTGTGGATCTGTTAAGGATCTTCGAAGAAGTACAACATGCTGGAGACACTTTGCACATTCTAACATCCTCCGATGACTTGGGTCTTCCCGACAAAACGAGACACGACTTTGAGTACATAACAAATAACTTCTGCAGGTAAATGAAGGTATTTATTTGACTTGTTTTCATTTGATTTACTACCTTGTCCCAGGACAAACCGTTTGGAAAAAAAATTAACGGGTAATGTTTTTAAATTTTTTTTCTTGTAAGGGATACTTCTTCCAACTGTATACCAATTTTCTTTACACCATTAGCATTAAAGTGGGCAAGATCTAAGTGGTGCCTTAAGAGGAACTTGATTTTATCCTTACGTTATACAAAGTATGCCTTTAAATACTGCTTTAGTGATTTACTATCTTTAGGAATTTAAAAAGTCTTCACCTATTCGTTCATTAGATCAAACATATTTTAAAATGTCTTCTAATCATTCTTGTGTTTTCTCCCACTAATTAAAAGTGTACGGAAGAACTAAGAACCATGAGTCCTTTTAAAGCCTTTGCAAAATTTCTGTTTAACGAGAAATTGAGGACCCCACGAAAAAACGTTTGATAAAATGATTAAAACAGCACATTTCTTTTAACTAGTCGGTACTACTCACTTCGTATTATCATACAAACGAATTGGCACGGGTTTCGCCAACTTGTCAGAGATTCTGACTACCTACATCGGCTTCTTTCCGAGGTTTTTAAGAGCTGTCTTAGTTACTTAAAGATCTCAGTTTGAGTCAAAACATTTGTTCTTAACATTCAGTAAAATTGCTGAATAAAAATACTGCTAAAAGAATTTTGGGACATCTCTAATGGAGTGAGTTCTTTTAAATTACAGGACTCCAATCCCAGATAGGTACTTTATAGTCCTACAGAGCTTCCGCAATCGTTACACCATGGCTTACAGGGCTCCCAGCTCAGCCAGCGGAGCAGATGCCAGCAGACCGAGGGCTCAAAGACTGGCATCGCTTAAACGCTCCCTCAACAGGCAGTGCTCCAGAAATGTGAGTCGTTCTAAGAAGGCATTGTGCATCATATGCATTCACAAGTTAATATATTTTTCAAAACTAAAAGTCAAGTATTTTTTTCCATTTACTCTTGAAATTAGCTCTACATATGAGTAACGAGAAAAAAATGAAAATATTGTGCTATCCGGACATATGAACTGCCATTTTATTACGTGTGGAATCAGGGGTAGCCATATTATGAAACTAGTCTCGTGATCGTTTTTAACAGTTTGTTTCGGACTGAGTAACTGTATCCTTGGCCTGTCATTTAAAAGTCTTCCTTGAGAATCGCAGTCATTAAGGTGAACGAAATCCGAAAATTGCATTGTTTGTAAAACCCCGCTGAAGCAAAGTCCAACTTTACCTCATCAGTTGCGACGCCGATGAGCATTAGCAGGAAAAATGTGTTAAACGAAATATATTTCAATGTGACAAATTTGCTTGTTAGGTGACGGTAAGTAAGTAGTCATACTAAATACCAAAATAGAGTGCTCTAAATTGTAACCAAAAAGTTATGAATTCTTTCTTAAAAATTTGGCGTCCTTAAAAGGGGTTATGAAGTAGTTTTTAATCATTGTGTATGAAATAAAGCACTAATCTCCTCTTCAAGCGACAATTAAAGCCAAAATTAAAACTAAACCCCACCCACAGGTTTTGGAAATAATTGATAGTTTTAGGAGGGTCCCAGTTTTTTTATTTAATCTTTAAATGTTACTCCTTTGCAAGCATTGAATATTAACTTGATGCATAAACTAAGGCAAGTTGGTGGCTGGCAATTTTTAAGGCTTCAAAATGAGCACCTATTATGCAGCATTGCTTCCTTATTTTTGCTGAGCTTAAATCATACTTCAGTTGTTTGTTTAACTCTCGATTAAGATACTGAGTTACTCAGGACTCCGCCACTGTACATCCGCCGAGCAGCTTGGCCTCAGGGCCATGCCAGTGTATCCCAGCTCTAGTGTAGGTCAACAATGCATAGTCTGCCCAGGCACTATATACGCACCCGTCGTCGGGGAAGGCTCGAGGAACTATATTCAATATATTTAACCAGGCATTTCAAATATTTTTAGTAGGTTCATGCAAAGCAGCCCAAGTCCAAAGCTAGGGACATTTTCCTAAAAGTGGATTTGACTCCTGACTGCCTCATTCACCCATTACTTCGCCTTTCAAAGCTAATTGAATGGCGTGGTTGAGAACGCTTAAAGTGTGTTCTTTGTACCTCTAAGTTGGGCGTACAGCTTTCCGAGATGAGTGTCGATATTATAGTGTTCTCCATCGTGCCAAAGTCTGAGTTATTGTTCACAAAATCGCGGAAAGCGCGGATCGGACTGGTAACTTCGTCAGTGAAAAATTTGCACCTTTATAAAAGAGCCAAGCAAAGGAAGTTTGAATAAAAGACCACAGCATTGATAAATTAGAATCTTGAATCAAAAAGACATACTTAAAAAATTGAGTTAACCTGAGGTCAAGGATCTTGAGAGAGGTGTCTCAACACGAAGGGTGTGTATAAAGCCAGAATGATGCATTGCAAAAGAAGTTCGTCTTACCTCACCCTAATGCAATCTTACAACCGAGTATCTGGATGGATCGGTAGGACCTACGCAAGAATGCATACTTTTGTAGAGACAAATCGTTAAAACAAAGAATTTTATTTTGGAGTGACTGAAGAAAATTCTGCTTGACACATGATAAATGGTACGTGAAAAACTCCCTACTAACTAATTATTATGATGTAGAATGGGAAAAGAAAAAACGACATGGAAAGTCAATCTTGAATGAAATAGATGAGGTGCCATTCCAGCTTAGATCTTCAAGATAGCTTAAGTAAACCCGTCTGTAGTGCAAGCCAGAAAGGTGTGTCGAATTTGAACCTTCTTGAAATACGTATTAACTGAACTGAAAACAGAAATTCAAACCTATTCTTTCCGTTGGTAGTGCCCTTAGAACTCACATGCAACTTTTATGGTAGAATCTACCAAACACATTTTCTCGTACACTTCGTATAAAAGCAAATTGGCATCTAAACCACTTGCTACTTATAAATCAAAATAGCATTAGAATGAATCTTAACCATTCAAATGCATAAATTTTGGGGATAATTTTCAGTTTGTAACTAGAAAGTTGCAAAGTTTGAATACTCAAATTTAACAAGACCGATGGACTGAATCCTGTGAAAACAAAACTGCTTGAGCGCTAAAGATTAATAGTTATTTCCTAATTTTGCGTAAGAGGTGGGAAGGGAAATAAGAGGTATACACATTTCTGGATTAGGTAAATAAAATATCGGTAGTTTTGTAAAAGAAGAACAGAAAAATGAGGCACTTATCAAGACATCATATCACCGAATCATCCTTCAGCGCACTAGCCTATTAAACCCGTTTTCTTGGGTATTTTGTAGAATACTTGGCAAAAAATGTTTTGCTTTCAGTTGGCAGCGCCCTTGGTAGACAACGACAATGCAAGTGACAGTTTCTACTGCATCAAGGATAGCCCTCTGCTGAACAACTTGTTCGGTCAGTATGTGGAGGAGAGCATTTACGTCAAAAAGTCGCACGACTGCTCCAAATTTCAAATGGCCTGCCTGAGATGCTTTAAACAGGCGAAGCTGGTAGCTAATTCAAGCAGTCACAGTGAGTCTAGTCAACCAATTTTGCTAGCATCATTTACAACTAAACGTTATACGTTGTATAACATCTTTGCTGCTACTTGAAAGGACGCATACTTCAAATTGTTGGTGATTTTAAAATTCAGAAGCAGTCTGTTAAGGCACATAATTAGGAAGCTTAGTTAGACAATAAAAAAATGATTTTAAGAATGCAGCTGATGTAGCCCATCGAAAACTCCTGAACTATCAGTTAAATCAAATCTCAACAGGATCGTTGCTAAAATCTCTGTTTATTCCTTCCAAAACCAGCAATTATCTTCAATCTGCTGGCAAACGCAGTACTTGGTAGATAATTTCCTAATTTAGGCAGTTTCAAAAATGTTTGCTTGTTAAATATTTGGAGTCGGGAATCATTCTTGAACACGTAAGACGTGAATGATTTGCTAGCGTTACCTCATACTTTGTTCGGAAATAAGAGTGAAATAAAATTACTTATTCTTTGCTTGTTTTACTTTTTCTTTGCTATTTTCACCAAGAGAATACATTTATTTTGCACTGAAATCGGCTTCGTATGTTAAAAAGGCAAGGAGGATTAGTGGCATTTGTTTTCCCCCCTTTTTGGTATAAAAAAGTGTAGAATGGAAAATATATAACTAAATGAATTTAAAAAATTGTGTCTTTCCAACTACCTTGTTCCATTGTGCTAAAAACTATTAGAAGTAATGCAAAAAAGCTGTCGATTTCCCTAAACTGATGCGAATTCCCCTGAAATTTCCACTGCAATGAGATGCAGGAATTGGCTTCCCGCATAGTAAGGTGCAGCCGCATAAGTAATAACCAAGTTTGCCATCACAAAGCTAATTTAAGGTTGATGAGGCAGAAATTGGAAGACATTGCGCATATTTAAGAAAGGAAGGGAATGCGTGGCGCTACCCAGCCACGTTGATAGTTGAGATCCAACTAATTATACTAGAGCCTCGGCGCCAAAGTGTCATTTTGAGTTCGTGACGAGACGCCTCGAGGTATTTCAAAAATCATTGCAATTTTTATTAATGAAATTATGTTCAAATATTTGCGAGCTGTGACGTTCACAAAACGAGACTTTTCAGACCCATGTATCTGATTAGGATCAAGGGCAAATCAAAAGTGTTGAAACTCACTGGTGTATATCCAGTTAAAAAGGGGAACGTTACGCAAGTTTGCCATTATACCATAAAATTGTTACATCTATAAAAATAGCCATTATTGGAGCACTGATTAATGCATAATCTTGCAAGCCCTAACCAGAGAGTATCAGTCAGCTCTGCTATTCATAGTTCTTCATCCAGTAATCCCGTTGTTATTTAGCATGTAGAGCACTGAGACTTCCCAAAAAATGAAAGAAGACGTGACATTCAAATGGAATATGTATTGCTGACTTACTGACGGTTTTGAAAGCCGGCAGCATAGTCCAGAGGTCAGGCAGACCGGTGGAGGCAAACTGTTACCAAAACCAAGGGTCGAATTAGCGTTTAACTCATTTCGGACACATTACATTCCCTTTTAGTTTTTGAGTACTTAAGATATTAATTTAAATGGGAAACTTTTACACTCACAATACTGGAGGCACTCATTTCTAAAAGATATCAAAAAGGCTTAAAAATATGCTCAGACTAAGTTTGTCATCATCATGTGGCAATGTGATAAGTACATCCTCAATCACCCTTTTGCCAAGGTAGCATAAAAAAAATACACCGATGATGCATTTAATTTAATAAAAATATTCAGCACACTTTAGAAAAAGCAGCCTCTTGTTCCAAAAAATTAAATATGGCTCACATAGTTAAATGGCTTGAAGAAGTTCCACATGTTCCCCCATTAAATGTTACGTGAGCTCAAACGTAACTTCTGTAAATGCAATTTTGTCCCTAAGCCGTCAATGTCAATTTTCACGGTCAACCATTTTGTACCCAAACGTTCATCTTCTTCAGTGATTGAGAAAGAGGGGGTTGAAAATTGCGGCTGCCAAATTAATTGCTACAATACACCTGGTTGTTTGGGCTACTACAGTCCACCGTGCTATCCGGATGACCAGCAGGAGCCCTTTGAAAACGGAACATGTGTCAAAGGTGGGTCTTCAGTCTTTAGTCCAAAAAAAATCTGCAATAAGTTAATGCAACCGAATATTATTTGGAACATTTAAGATGGGTTGATAAGATTTTATACAATCTTAGACTTTTGGATTTCCTTTCGACATTGCAGATTATTTTTTGAGTAGAGAATGCATTAGTCGCTTTGTAAGGTGACCGGATTTTATCGTTTAATTTGGCCTTACCTTAGTGCAGCTTAACTTTATGTCTCTTTTATTCCATTTGCAAATAGATTTATAAAGACAATTTTCAGCATCAAATTATAAATTGAAGCAATTTTATTCTTGAAGTGAAAGGTGTGAATTTTTATGATCTTCTTTTGCAAATGATATTAATCATAATCTGTATAATTTTCTAGACAAAACAGGAAAGAAGAAATCAGTCAATTGGTTTGTGTATGCATAGTTGACAAAATTAAAAGCTGCCTATCGCCGAGATCTACGGCATTAGCTTAAACTGTTCTCCCACAAGTTTGATCTCTAAGTTGGAGGATCAAGTAAAAAGGTTTAACTTAAGTTTGACACAGTATTTTCCTTGAATTTTTACTGCTTTACACAAAAGGGTAACTGAGTTAATCTATCAGCTTAGCTGGAGATATTTTGGTGGGTTAAACATCTATGCCACCTTAATTCATCAGACCTCCAATTGCCCTCCAAGTTGCCTGCCATCTAAGTAACAATTTTCAATGAGGTCTTACCTGTCTGGCTACTTTATCCCACAACGCATGCGGCGTCATAGAAACCCGAGAGGAATCTATTTATGAAAAGGCTGTATTACTACAGAAGACCTGGAACAGCTTTTGGTTGAATCAAGTCAATATTAGTAATTATTTCAAAATCTTGCCACATTAAGGCAAAGTATCGTTTAATGGGGTTGAAAATGGCTAAATATTCAAAATAAACTGTTTAAACAGTTTGGCAAGACAAGTTCTGCATTTATATATTTTTTTTGAAGCGATACAACACCAAAACTTGGTGCTTTTAATTCTTGAATCGCTAATAATTCTAAGTAGTTTAGTTTACGCACGATTGACCACACCAACTTTTCTTCCAGTTAAATAACTATCTTCCCCACTATACCTGCGATTAGTTGCACCCTAATCTGTGTCCGCCTCACTGTGTGTTGAAAGATGACTTAATTTTTAGACTTGAATGCGTAGGTGAAAAGCGCAGAGTGAGCTACTAACTACAAATAAGTAACACCTAATCTAAACATTCTTGAAACTTGGCTGCGTGGTAATAATTTAGATGCAGTATCGACAATGAAATTAACAAATCTTTTCAAAATGCAGGTAACTAACTTTTGGGAATGAATTATGTCAAACATCTACTTTTTTCCGTGCACTAGCACTGTGCATAAGAATACGGTGAAGGCAATAGACACATTGTAGGACTAAATAATTTTCCACATTATAACGAGCACAATAACGCTACTAATGGTTTAGTGGCAAACAAGTATGCGTGACGTTTTTTCGTATCATCTATCATTCCATGAATCACAGGAAATGTGTACTGACGGTATTGTTTTACACAAAAAACCTTCGTAAATGAATGACGCATAGGTTAAGACAATAAGGCAAAGTAACCCGTCTTATATATACTCAGCGTAGTACAATATCTTCCAAAATTGTTTTGTATATTCTATTAATTTTCAAAGGATGTCATGAAAAATATCACTGGCGTAGTAGTCTTGCAATCTTAGATTAAGCTTTATGTAGTTGTTCCCAGATTTTTTAACGTTCAACGAATGGTTTGAAGTTCTTTATGTGCTTTTAAGATCGAGTTAGCCTGTTTGCAACTTACAAAACCCGAAATTTCTTCCCATATTTAGGCAACACATTCAAAATCAGTCTTTCACCCGACTATCAAAATGCGTCCAGTACTTTCCAGTGTCACCTGAAACGCCGCCCACGACATGAACTTCAAGTCAACTTCACAATTCAGATGGGGCTAGCAGAGGTGGGAGAAGCCGCATCTGTTATGAGCCCATCCAGCGTGTTGTGGAGTACGTATCCACAGCACTTTCACATCATATTAAATGCCTCTACGCTTTCTACTACTACTGGACCACTGGGTATAGTGGCAAGGTTGTCACCTCAGAATTTCTCATTAACTACTCCGAAAGAGGTCATGCTAAGAGGAGCCAAATCAGTCCGTCATGACAATAAAAATGGTAAACATGCATATTAAATCATTACTAAACAATACCTAGCGATGCCAATTAGGCAGTACTTCAAAGCTGCATCAAAAGCACTCAAATTCATTTATCTGAGTATTTATGGCTAAATGATTTTGACAGTTTTAATTCTAATGCTTCAGTACTATTACTGCCTTATCACAGACAAAGGTATTATGTGTAGTTTGGGGGTTATGAATTAAATGCCTGTGTCTTGATGTTTGTAATGAAGGTTGCGTTGTTTGGATCATCCAGAACGGGATCCAGGATAGTATTTTTAGGCTTTGTACTTACTAAACTTTACAACATGAAGGCGTAGGAGCCATCCAGCTCATTTCAAGTTTCCGTCGTCCCGCAGGAAATGAAGCTGCTAGAAAGAGTTTTTAAAGTTTCTTCTAATAAATTAATCAACGAGGAAAAAATACCACGCCTTACGACTGAACCTGAGAAAAATGGTTGTTTCAAAGTTCATTTCATCCTTACCTTCAAAAACATCTTTAAATGTTAAAAGTAATGACCGAGCTAAACTGGAAGCAAAGAAGGCAAATAAGTTGAAAATTAGTTCTTTGGAAATAGAAAACTTTGCTCTCATTTGCATGTTTTAAAATGGGAAACTTTTAAAAGATGGAACATGAAATAGAGGGAATGTTTAATAGTGGTCAAATTTTTCCCAAAACAGGGTTTTTAAGTTATTCCATTATTTTCCTAGAATATGAACTCAGTTTACACTATCTCAGGTCAATTCAGCGGACGAAAGGAATGCTGCAGAGTGATCAGTCCGACAGTGCCCAAAGGCAAGGTGACCTTAAGGTTAAATCGGTGCAGGTTTCAAGGCCCTTTCTCTATAGTACTTCCAATTGGCGATCAGCCGGCTGTGACCTTGACATCGGCAATTTCTTGAATGAGGACGAAGTGTTATATGGACCCACTATATCATCTGCTATTCAGCTGAGTGAGGGCAAAAGAAAATCACTCCCCTTTTCTTACTTTCTAACAAGAGATTTGGACAACAGCCTAAAAATGCAAATTCGATTGAATGGTATGTGAAATCCCATTAATAATTATCGCATTTTACTAGTCGCTTCCAGCTAAAAGTAAAATTTGAAGAAGACATTCCAACAAAATGATGATTCCTGGGACATTTAAAATAATAGATTATTTCTGGGATGTTATTAGTGTTTGAATAAGTTAAACCACCCTTTCTAGTTTCAGCAGTTACTTTGTCGCTTTGAAAAAAATGATAATGTCGATTAGAGCTAGGAAGCAAAAAAACCCCTTTTCCCTTACCTGGCAAATCGATGAAATTACTGCTCTTAAAGGTGATTGTTTTTAGAGCACAGTGGTTTTGATTCTGATGTTGTTCATCCTTTTGAAAGGAAATCAAGAAAACAGTTATCATGGTGAAAAATTGCGACAGCCGACAAATGAGATAACTTGCTCTTTGATTGGTTCACTTGCTTAACCAATGAAAATGCGAATACGGTCTTTGGCCCCACAGTTAGTTTATGCTAGCAAAGTGGATATCAAAGTTTACCCAGCGTTTCTCTATTATTCTTTTGTTTTCTCTTAATACAGAGGAGACGTCGATTTTGAAATCCGCAATTTGCAATAAAACCAGGCGCCTATCTACAGTTGGCAGAAACACCGTCAGTGCGGTCAGAACAGCCAAACCGTCACTTCTTTATTCAAATCAACGTTGGACATTAAATGTTAACGGTAGCCCGCACTCACTTTACCTTAGTAAATTTTGGTTTTTGGTTGCTATAAGCCTTTATTATTTGTTGTTGAATTGCGAATCATAGGGCAAAAAATCGGATATGCCATTAAATTTGCACTGGTTTCTCCGAAATTTATTCTCAAATAAAATAGGTGTGACAATTTTTACTTCACATTAAAGTCCTACAAGGAGCACCCTAACAGTGTTTGATAAGACTTCCATTTTTATGTCATTTGAGAGGAAAGAGTAGTTAAGAATTTCAACATTCTTCTGATCTCTTATTCCATTCCTCTCCCTAGGTAGAACGGAAGTGACGCCGGTTTATCTCAGCATTTACGCTGCAGTTGGGGAACCGTTAAGCAGCCCACTTTTACACCAAGATCTGCTCATATTTCCTACTAATGGTAACCATTCACGCGATGTGCATTCCCATTCCACCTACGACTTTTCCATTCAACTACGATTTCCGCGTTTGTCTAAATTCACGGAGGACAAACGAGAAAAACATCAACAACAACAGGGTCTACGCAAATTAGTAATATCCATTCAGGACTGTTTTCAAACCCAAAAAGTCCAATTCTTCATGTTTACTTCCGAGGAGCCGCTTGAAACCATGATGTGGGATGAAACATTGGGTGGGATCGTTGATGAAAAGGGCGATCATTTTGAAAAGTTAACTAAAAGTTTCACCAATTTGTCCATACTATCTCGAGTGCTCTCCGCTAAGGATGCCAACGCCGTTCCCTACCTCGTGCTTTTCTTTGCTTCGGCAGTAGTCATGTTGTTTTTAATGATCATTAATACATTAATCTGCTTGATTGAACGACAAAGAAAAGGCAGATCACAAGGAATTCACCTAAAGCATTTACATCTCAAAGACTCAAACAATAAGGAATTCGTGGTTATTTCTGGTGAAAAATCCAAACATCAAGAAGGAGGATACATTCCTCTGAATCCAAAAGCCCCCCATTACCTACTCAAGCAATCCGAGGTCCCGAGGCGAAGCTTTACTTGTGCGAAGAAAGGGATTCTCGTTGCATACACCAGCTTTCGTGTTTTTTATACATTTATTTTCACATTCTCCGTGGCCCTCTCGATTCTCTTCAGCTTTTGGCCCCCAGTTGGAGCTGGAAATTCGGGATCTGCTTCTACTTGGAACAAAGGAATCCTCCTTCCACTCCGTCAACGCGAAGCTGCTCGTCGCGAATCCGACACGGAGAAGTTGTTGAATCAGCACTCCGCCAAAGCAGCGCAGCTTGTACATGCCTGTCAAGACACTCTAATTCGACAGATTGTTGATGTAGCTCGTGAGGTTGATCGAACAGTTCAAGAGGTGCTTGATGTCGAATTAAATCCCCAAAAGTCCAAAGAAAATATGTTTAAGATGCTGGAAAGTTTTGTTCTCCGGCAAATGAACGATCTTGATCTCTCCGTGCAAGATTACATCAGCCATTTGCGTGCCGAGCTTGATAGCAGCATGATGCCTGATGTGGTACGATTTTCAGAACTCCTCTCCAGCATCTATGCCTCCCAGTGGCTACTGTTTGTCAAAAGAATGATGAATAGCACACATATTCCCTGGGATATAACTGCACCTGAGGTTCATTTTGTTCCCACTCCCGAACACCTAAATGCCCTCAGACTGAAAATATCTAACATCGAATTTGCGCGACAGTTTGGGCTTGCAGAAGCGGAAAATTTTCTCTTCATTCCTTCACTGATTACGTCACAGTAAGTTTGAGAATGCAGAAATGTTTTGCATTCTGAGGAGGAGAATGTGTCATCTGAGATTCCATTAGTAGTTTTATGAGGCTTAGCAAGTAGTTACTATGTGTCTCTTAAGGTTTTGCAGTTATTTTTTCATACTTCTACGAAATGGCAGTACTTATGCCTAGTTTTTTCTGCTATAGTTCATTAAATCTAAAATATTGCTAAAATATTGCAAGTTACAATAAGCAGCAGTTCGACCAAGTAGGACTGTTTCAAAGGGCAAGAGACGGGAGAATAAAAATGTAGCAAAAACACGAATACGTTAGTGCACTTACATATAATTCAGTAAATAAATATTTGAAGGCCATGAAGTCGAATAAGTCTAGTATGGTACATTATTGACAGTAGTGATAATTTAGAAGTGCTTTTATAACTCCCAAACCGCAGCAAAGCTTTGTTGGGGCTCACAGTTTCGTATGAGAATTGTATAAATTGCAAAAATTTGCAGGATTTACCATTAGTTTTTAAGACAAATAGCTACTGTTTACGAAAGTTGTGTCGTGGAACACGTAATATACTTTATACTTCACCTTGCCTTTAATATATTTTTGTAGGGTTGGGAAATTCCAAACAAATACGAAAAATTGCGAGTCTTTAGAATAAGCATAAAGAGCACTGATCTGGGCATTGTAAATTTCGAAGATGAAAAGTAGTTTTACACCCAACAATGAATACCTTTCCTCGTCATATGGGTTTAAAAACACCAATTCATCTATCACGTGTGCTACTGTTGTAATTATTATCTCCTTTACTTATATCACTTGGCCTAAGTTCTTCAAAAGTGTTGGCAGTAAATTAGCAAAATCTTTCAATTTTATTCCCTGTGAAAGTGTCGCGAGGTCATTTGAAGGTCAACGTTGACGTTTATGCCAATAAAATTAGTGGACATTAGGCCGCAAACAGGCCTTGATTACTGTGTCATGGCAAAGGCAGCTACCCAATACCACCTGACTTGGTCGCATCATATTAATGAAAATGAAAAGTGGGTGGATTTATTATGTTATGTCAAAATAAATCATTCTAGACGGTTTCGCGAGCGGGAAATTTCTCGGTGAGGCAAGGATTTAGGATTAGGTTATAACCGGTAATAAAAGGAACCCCATTATTACAAAATTGGACATTGGTCACACCAAGCTTTGCCCACTGGAGACTAACGGATACATTCACAGATTTTCACGTGAGAGGTGAAAAATTATAAACTCACTGTAGCACCACGAGATTTCCCTGAAGACGAAAGAAGGCATAATACTGGTGTGGAATATGCATTACCAATACACAAAAGAGGTGGACAGTTACTGACATGGTTCGGAGGCCGTGCCGCTCAACGAAAGAACAAAGGCAGGGCCTTAAGTGCTCGAGAAACCAAAACAAAGTGTTAAAAAAATAACCAAAGTGTCGCGCTCGCCTCACACGTTCCTTGGGCCTCACTTCTGTAGAAAAATAACATTCAGTAGAGAGTGATGATCATGGTTTTCGAAGGAAATAATAATTTTGTAGCATTAATTAACTCCACTGCAAAGGTGAACAGAACTTCCACATGGCCATTTCATAAACAGGAGTCAATTAGCTTTGTACATAAAATGCGAAACCTGATATGAAAATGATTTGAAAGAGGGCATAATTCCCTACAAGAAAACAGGCTTCACCTTTTTCTTGAGTAAATACAGTCCGATTTTTAATCTCCGGTTGATTTAAATTGCATAACCGAACCTTACTCCAAAGTATCAAATAGGTGTTGCATAATTAATCTTTGAATTGCAAATTTTCAGCTCAAGAGGGGAAAAATTATTTACTTCAAGGAAAGTTCAGCCCAATTTTTTCTTGGCATTATTTCATTTGCACAAGTAAGGCGACGAATTCCATTGCTTTCCGAAAATGGTATTCGACAGTATTAGCTCTATTTCTATGCTTCTCGACACCTTTTCATTCCTCCGGGGAATCACGGTCTATGCAAGTGGATCCAGTCACTTGCATCTCCTCCTTTTTTTCCACTTCATTAGCATTCCTTTTTACTCTTGATCTCTGCAGTAAGACAAACAAAAGTCGAGTGAAAAGAAGATGAATTGTTTCACGTCTTATGTTGGGACTTCTTCAGAAAGCTATGAATGTGGTCTCTAAACATCGAAAACTGTAAAACAAAGTAAAATATGTCCCTTTAGCTGGAAAGGAGTAAGTTTTATTAATGCACAGCAGGATGATTTGATCATACCATTTAAACTTTGGTACTTTCACGTCTTTTCTGATCGAAGGTCATTGTTGGGTGTGTGATATGACTGTTAACAAGTGGTCTTGAAATTGAAGTCTTTTGATTCATTTTTTGCATGGCCCTAAATGTCTGACTAGTTTGTGGATTTTGCCTTTAACTGAACTATACTGAAGGCACTCATTATGATCGCAGCAGGAGAATAAACTGCGCGAGTCCTACGCTCTACGGCATTGTGAATAGTGAAGGGGAAAAGTTGATGTTTCTATCGTACCCGAAACAATCTTAACACGTGGTTGATCAAACGGTTCTAGGTTTCCTCAGTTCGGAAAAAAGTGGTTGGGTTGTAGCCAATAGGCATTTTTTGCAACATTTTTGCATCGTGGGTCTTCCCTAGTACATAATGGAATCATTTAAAGCTGCGCTTACATATTGAGAGGTACGAGGGACTTGCGGTTATCCTTTTAGCCACCTTTACTAATCACTCAGACTTGTAATTGAATCTAAACACAGACAACGAATAACCAAGACTTTTTGTTGCAGAATAGTTAATTTTATTAATAATTACCCTTTAATCTGTATATCTGCGCAGTGATATATGCTACAACAGTTTTTCCAAATTTGTGGTTAAGCCGTGGGATCCACTTCTCGGACACAATTGGTACTCAAACCGTCTGGCGGTTGAAGAAGAACATGCTCGATAAAAATCTAGATTAAATTTGTTTCACTCCCTGGAGGGAGTTGGGGTAAAGCGTTTAAACAAACTGCCTTCACAAGCGAATGATGAAACATGTTCATTTACTGTGGTAAGGTAAATATCAGGCAGATCTACTGATCCCCATTCAATTGATAATGGTTTTCTTCTTTTCATCACTGGGAAGTCATGCCACAATAACCACCTTTTCCCGCCCTTTAATGTGCAGACATATAGGCATGGGATATTTTGTGTTATAAAGCCACCTTTAATAATGGCGGGGTGATGGGTCTGACGTTTGCAAGTGCTGAATGCGGATAACCTTAAATATGCAAATACGATATTAAATGCGCCCTCACACACCCCTAATTTAATGTTTTATATGCAAGTGTGATTTTAATAAGAGATTTATCAGACAAATCTAGACTTCATCCATGCGTAGTTACCAAAATAAATTGGCGACATTGGGCGGATTATGCAATTGCGCATGTAGGGATGAAGAAATGCTCTTCCAGGATTCCACTGAAACATTGGGGCATTTCTTAAACAATCGAACGGTTTTCGTGTTTTGTTTGCCCTAATGGTCCAAAATTGGCATTGCCATCTTTGGTACTTATAAAACATCTTGTGCTTTTATTCCCACATGCAATGTTAAAGCGCCTGAATGGCATTACACAGACTGAGCCTGTCACAAATGTTATTGATACTTGCTTGTCCACTTTTTATGTCCCTAGAGGTCGTTTTAAAATAGGATAGCAATCAACGTTGACAAGTAGCCCATGCTAAGAATGCCAAAATGTCCATTCGTCGGAGTATTTACAATACTCTACCTAGTTAGAATAGCTAAAATGACAAAACGCAGGGATGATAATAAGACTCTATAGAATTTGGAACTCATATTTTTCACACTTCACCTTGTCATGCACTAACAATAAAAAATAACCGGGGAGTTATGGCAGTTTCCATGATTCATTCACAGCCTTCTGCATTTGGTATGGTAACAAGTTAAGTTCTCCTCCTTCATTTAAAGCAATAATATCTTTTAAAGAGTGTTCCTCCTACCAGTGGACAACCTGATTTAGTTAAAGGCTAAAATATGCAAAAGTGCATTGTATCACAGCATTTAAGTACTTATATTTTAATAGGATATAAATTGGCTACCGTTTCCCACCCGTTTCATGTTTCCTGATTCTACCCATATTCCCCACTAAACTACGCGTCAACAGAAGGGGGATTACCTGCCAAATTACTTTCACATCTACCATTAGCTATCATAGTTCCAGGTAAGGCAAAATCCCCGGAAATTTGGAATTATTTCTTCAATTAGTAAAAATGATTGCTTGGCTTCGTTCCTAGCTCCTTAGGTATCTCTTGAATGCTGTTGGATAATAAGCTAACGGAGCAAACTTTATTGTTCCTAGGCTCGAAGAACTGGTCTTGTCCAAAGTACCTTCGAAAACCCTTCAGCCCAATTTTGTTCCAAGTGTTTACAATGAATCGGGTTCAACGACGCAAGGTAGCGTTGGTCAAACATTTGCTGCCGAACAAGACGTATTTAAGCCTCTGGTGCTGCGTTCTTTCACCACGTTAGATGATCTTGAAGTTATCAACCAAGGACAAGCCGCTAGGGCTTCCATCTCTACATTTCCACCATTGAGGCCAGCGACGAAAAGAAGACCAAGTGGTGGACTGTTTAGTCTGCATCTCACTCCGCTCAGTTTGGGGCAACTGAGACTTACCTTGTTCCTCATTGACTGCTATCTGATTGTGACGAGGTTCTACAACACCTATGTCAGTTTGAGAGAAATTTTGGTGAGTAGAAGACTAGTTGTAGATGCAGCCTCCTACCTCAGTATTTTAGCGAACTTACCGCCTCAGAAAGAGGAGGATGGGGAGGTCAAACAGGCAGAACCCAAGTCGACGCGATATAGTGTGTTCCAGGGGGAAACACATTACCAATGTGGACATTCTCAAGCAGTCAGACCTCATATTGTGAGTTCCATTAGTTTATGCTTAAGTAAAAAACTCTCTGCAGAGAATTTTTGAAAATTTAGCAGTTGAATTATTGTCTATATGGCTTATTTTTAGCTCTAAAGTCCATTCACCATGATGCCTTTTTTGCCAGCCATGAAAACGCTACTTTGAACTTCAAAAAGAGATGTGAAATCCGATAATGTGTGGAAAAAGCTTCAAAAGGTGACCATGAAAACTGTAACACTTTTTAGCCTTTCAAAATAGAATGCCAAAAATGCAGGAGGAGTGTTGGAAATAAGTGGCGTGGGTGCGCCGGAACCAATGCCCTCCAATTTGAAGCAAATGACAGCTAATATTGTTTTAACTAATTTCCGAAGAAAAAATATTGAAAAATGAAGCAGTACAGTTAATGGTGCAAATTTAGAGATGTGGAGGGTTAAGTTGCCAGATAACTGTCAAGTGAGTGTCGAATGGGCGAGATGTGTCCACGGTGTAAGACACGTGAGCAAACATGACCCCTTTGTGTGCCTCTCACGGTGATGAGTTTATGGCGGTCAAATACACGATCAGCACGAACTCCTCCGCGGTGTTCGCAAATCGTATAGCTGTGGCTAGTGTGATTCCAACTTTTTGTTCTATAAAGGTCAGATTATGTGGAGGAAATACAAGCTCACTAAAGTTAAAATGAAAAAAATGTTCCCCAATTGTGATATATCGTGTTGTACGTCCAATCTAAAGTTGGAAAAAATGTCCCGACTTTAGGCGTAAATGTGATTAATTAACTCAGTTAAAAGTTAAATAAAAATATTTGTTGAAATTTTGTGTCACTGTGATGTTGCATGTCAGACAGTTGGCCGCTCACCGAATTCTGAGAGGCTGAAAAATATTTTTTGCAAAAAAACAACACTCCTATTTCCTTCGGCAACAGGACCAAATTATTGAGCATCATATCCTGAAGTCTTTATCCTGCTGACCACTTCATTCTGGTACCAGTAGAGTAAGATGCTTAACAGTATTCTTCTCGAAAATAAATTCAGTTGAATCATTTAGCCACAATGACAAATCCCACAAAATTAGTTGTCATTCCCATGATCTTTTATTGAAAATTCAATGGCATTATTAATTCTTGTATGAGTTCTTTTGTTGAAGCTAAAATAATGAAAATACCCCCACCTCCCGTTAATTAGATACATTTGAAAACTCTTTTTTCATTTCAACTGTGATGGTTCGATGAAGGTTGCTACCTGAGACGGAAGTGGTGCCTTCTGTATATGAGTAATGCTGGGGTGTACAAGATGAAGAGCGCTTAGATCAATGAGATTTTATGAATAAATAGTACACGATCTCATGACATCGACTGGAGATGTAGACCCAACTCTTTTTGGGAAGTCAGGCTCTAGTTAGGGAGCATTGAACCACATTGTGCATATGAAATGAAATGGAAACAATTAAAGATATTGGGTTAGTTCCTTTTCCAGAATAAATCAGCTCATAGTTTTGCATAAATGCCTCGAGTATGTCCCGCGGCCGTGGTTATTATAACAGCGTCTTGGGAATTCGACTTTATTTGTATTCGTTAGTTCTCATCATTATCTTGGGTCATACCGTCATTAAATAGTTTGCAAAAGGCCTGGGTTGAAGGTAAAAGACCCTCCTTATAATTCGGATGAATAGTTAGGCTCTCCTAGCAGTTTTCACGGGCGTGGGGTCCACGGTAAAGCCCAGTGAAACGGACTTCCCCTACTTAATGTCTGATTATGCGGTGCTAAATTAGACTTATCATAAAACCTTTTTTTTTCAAAAACTCCCTAATTTGAATAGCTTCTTGATTATATCATTTTAAAAAACGTTAAATAGCACACAAAGTGCATACAAGGGCAAAACTGCTATCATTTCTGCATCTTTCGATATCATTTTGCAAATTTTAGTTAAAGTGAAGAAAAATATTTTTTGTGATATACAAACCTTATACATGTGAGTATTTCGAAGGAACTATTTTTGAAAATCGCGTTGAATTTGAATTGATGCCATGTGGGGCGGATGAGTCACCTCTTGACTTGGCAAGGGTGAAATGCGACTCCTTTCTGTCGTCGCAGATGGAGAATTTTGATGAGTCTTTTACGATCATTCTTTTTATTACAAAATAAGATTGTCTGCATTGACATGGAAATAATTACCTAACCTGTCAATTTTTGCTTCGGGAACACCCTTAATTTCCATGCAAATCATTACACTGACGCGTAAGCTATTGGATGCTGAGATGCGTCACAAATGCAAATTGCCTCCTCCTGTCAGATTATTGATGTCCTAAATGTCATAAACACTTGTCATATTCTAACCTGCTATTCAATGCTCATTTTTAGCGCTACCATCCTGCTTACCATATTTCGGTATTGTTCAAAAGATCTTAAAATAGCTGCACATAAATTGCACATTTTACTGGCAGTATTAGAGCCATAGTGTTTGCATTCTTCAGTTACCTAACATTATTAAAAGGTTCGGAAGTTAATATCTTTTCGGTGATCCGAGGTCATTTATAACAGCATCGCCATAATGTGTATAGGCGGACTTCCAATCCTTACTTCTTTTTCCGCGTCCACGCAGAACATGGCATAGTGGGCAATGGAGTATTTTGCATGCTTTTCCAGAAATATAAATTCACCCAAGGAAGTGTTACGGCTTTTCTACGACTGAACGATTGGTGTTTCTGATAACAAACTGCCAACCTTTTTGGTTTCTGCGTGGAGGAACACAGCCTAGTGACTTCCTTTTTCTTGTTAGGAAGAAGAAGTATTCACGTGCAATAGAAGTTGCCTCCATAAACAAATGAGGAGAGACTACGTTTTGCCATATTTGAAAGTACTCTAGTAACTGCAATCTGTAATCAAATAGTTAAGGGGTAATTTGCTTTTATGCTTACATTTGGGCCAACATCCCTTGTTAGTGCTTTGAGAAATGAAGACTTAAAAATGCGATGAACAGTCCCACTCCCAACTTTTGAATAGGTGCTTTATGGCATGCACGCACAAAAAAATAAATGGGAGCCGTTTAATAAACCGCTTTTGCTCGGAAATCAGCTGAATTAAAAGAATAACTTTTATACGGAGTCAATATGGTGGTTTTTGATAGAATGTGATCCCTTCTGTACGAAAAGAGTGGTTTAATTTTTTGCTACGGAGAGCATTCTAAGCATGATCTATCCTATTTGGCAAAAAAAAACGAAATTGGTTGAAACATTCAATTAAAACCTACTGCTTTGAGCCGGTTTTAACACGCACGTAAATTGTGTTGACCTTAGTTTTGCCCGTTCCGGTGAGGGAGGGCGGTCGACAGAGAGACTTGTACCTCTTCCTGGTATCAGCGCTACCCACATTTAATCACGTTTCGCAAAGTACTTACAAAGTTCCTCAAAAATATGATTAAAAATGTCGCTTAACATATGGTATTTCCAGCCTCCCATATAACCTTGTTGAAATTAGCGAGGTGGGTAAATAATATGATTAGCCCTATTCCTTCCGCATGGGTTCAGATTGGATTTAATACTGATTAATAAGATTTATCATTGTAATTGTAGAAAAAAGCAAAACTTTTTAGTGGGGCATCGGAAAATATTGCTAGAAAAGGTGATGAAAACAACGGTTGTACGGCCAGATGACCATTGGGTGCAAGTGGACGGACCAACAGGGGTGGATAACGTTACAGTTGACGATGAGGCTTAAAAGCAAGAGGAGTGGGAAGGGTGGGAGCGGAGAGGGGGAAAAAATCATTTGGGAACCTGTTGGGCATGAATTAGGCCGTTAAGGCGTAAGGGACAGCCAACACTGTGGGTCGATCAGGCCATGCGGTAGGGTTGGCTCTCAAGACCACATGCCAGCGATTTCGTAGTAGTCACTAATACATTAGGAAATAATCACTGAGAATTTTGCCTCTTCTTGATCAAAAACTGTCACTTAGCCTTACTTTTCTCTTAGCAACGCTAAGAGAAAACCACAATGGACACGACGAGTACTTGATGCTCATGAATGATTCTGTTTAACCAACTTTTTCATTTATGGTTTTTACAAATGGTATTTAAATGAGTGGAAGAAAGTAATCAGATATTTTAAAATAACTTAATGGGTAAATGAAACCACTACGCTCTTCTCCTCCATATTATGCACAGTTTCAACGACTGAAATGAATGCATGAATGCCAAAGCCGTCCAAGCATTTCTTTTGTATCGCTATGAGCTGAAAATAAAAAAGTTCAATCATTGACAAAAGAGTAAGATTTGGTTTAAATCCATGGGTGATTCTGGGTGCTTTAAAGGTGGAAATGCATTTTGTTCTGATTGGAATTTGTTTGTAGATCGCACACTGTTACTTGTTGGCATTTTTGATCTCGTTCGGGGCTATCCATTACACACACATACACAAACAGAGAAAGAGGTTCACGGTGCTGTTGCCGTTGCCCATTTGGAATGTGCAAACTGACATCTGTTTGTGAGATGTGTACCCATGCATGCGGGCAGCATATGTCATCCTTGCAGGCAAGCTCTTATTTGACAACTTTTTAAGCAAAATACAAGAGACAAAACGAAGTTGCTAACGGTGTAGAACTGTGAGCTAGGAATGGAATGGCCGCTTAAGCCAAAACTAACCAATTGTTTTACAAAGAATGCATTATTGAGTGCAAACTGAGTAGAAGGGGTAAAATTCAGTACTATAAGAACATAAAGTATTTTGTTTGAATTTTCATACGCGCGCCTAGTTTTGTGGTAATTGCATTCATGTGATTTCCGTGTTCATTGTCTAGGTGTGAAGTGGTTCTGTGGGGATGTTGAAAATGTTAATTAGACCACCTAAATTATTAATTACCGCAGTTTAGAAGGCATTTTAATAATGAATGCCTGACTGCTTCCAAGAGTGTTCTACTTCCAGTCGTGGTAGGTCAATAAATGGGATTTTAAGAAAGTAAAAACAATAGTCCGGGTCAGTTTATTCATCAGAATTTCACTGATTTCATCCATCTTATGAAAAATTAAATAAACATTACTTCTCCTTCATATGTGTAGTTTCACGGTGCTGTTTCAATTGCTAATGTTAGACTTAATGCGTACCCATATTCCGCTTCACAGTTTTACTCTAACCTGGGCTTTAAAACACATTTTATCAATTGTATATTCGTTCATCACACAAAAAGGTACGAAATCGTCCACTTTTTCTCACCTGACAGATTTTGAGATTAAGCAGTATTAAAGCATGACATCAGTGTCATTATTATACGGCTTACATATTTGGAGGAAGGTATTTTAAATCCTCATGTAGTAATGTTTGTGTCTACAATGTTAGGCAATACAAACCAGGCTGCACATCAGATTTATCTGTTTTTACTATAAACCTCAAAGTAATCAAAAAATTTGAACAGGGCCCTACGTAGGTGATTATCATGATTTGTTTCAAAAATTCAATTTAAGAAGGTAGTCATTAGGCACTATACAGAATTAGGTTTCTGTTCGAGGTGGCATCAGCGTATTCACTGAACTTTACCTCTCTAATGACTCTTTACAACTTTACTTCATTCCCCTCTTTAAGGATACCACCGCTCAAATTCACTCTTGCAGCAATGGCAGACTTGGCTTCCACCTGGACGAAAAGTCAAGCATGGTCCACAGTTTGTGTTTAGGTTGAGGTTCCCGGGTGATAACTGCCCTGAATTGAGATGACGATGGCTCTCACACCGCCCCTTCCGGTTCAACGCATCAAAATAGTTTCCTTACTGTCAAACAAAGCAGCTAATTTTAATTATTCGAGACTGGCTCAAGTACCATACCAAAAAGACACAGGGATTAAGATTTTTCAAAAATTCCTGTGAGCCGTGAATTCAAAAGCTCGCGTTTTAACTCATGAGGAGGCTGATGAGGGCAAACGAACAATATGTTTACCACTGTGACTTAATCGAGTACTTTGAAGTCACTTTCAGTCTCGATTATTTTCAAACTTTGCTTCCCGTTGCTGTTGGCGAAACGAAATTCAGGGTAATTCAATTACTCTTTTGCTTTTTCGGTAGTTTGATAAGGCAATTTTAGGTGATGATATCACTAGTAAATTTTGTCTTGACGAGAAAATCTCATACAATAGTTCGGTGAACTCAGCCCTTTGCAGGCTTAATGTCATTAATGTTTCACCGCTTAGGTAAGGCAAGAATGTTATAAAACTGTGTAAAATTCCCTAAATGGGCAAAATTAAGCAGTTGTAATAATTGAGAGTTGAGGTAAAAGAAGCACAGTAATTGTTAGACCTAGAAATGCTGACTTTAGTGCAGTAATCAAAGAGTAACTTAGTGGCTACAAAACACCTGTTCAGGTGTTCATCACCTCCACCCGATGCTTGCACCAAAATTTACTTATTTATTTGCTTATTGGCCCGCATCTTTCTCTATCAGAGCCCAGATAACTGTCAGCGTAGCGGTCACTTAAGTGGAATTTATGTACTCATTAGAGGCGTAATGAAAATTTGCATAGATAGGGAATCTATCGTGGAGCGAAAGTTTTCGAACAAGGTTAAATAGGTAATATTTAATTCCTTAAGTATCACTTCTTACTCCACGTTATCGAGGGCATATTGTGAATCCCTGGCGTACTTTAATGCTAATGTAAATGTAAAAATTTATTGCCTCGTGCTCAAGCTTCTTTCAGGTCATGCTAACACTAATATTAAACACAAATCCTTCAAATGAGGGTCCTTTGACAATAAAGGTGATCGAGAAAATGCATAACTCGGCTTAAAATTTCCCTCCATTAATCCACACAAATTTTTCAACAATCTTGTTCAGGTAATTTGACAACAGTCAGGAACTTTACAATCCTTATAAAATTTTTCGTGTTTTTGAATAATTCGTGCATGCTAGCTGAACTTTCGGTCACATGGCGATGTGAAAAGGCGTGGCTGAGGTGGAGAGGCAGACGTGTATTGTAGGTCCTAACACTACAGTAGCATTAACTGCAGTTTAGCACCTTGATTACTTATTAGGCAGCATTAGTCCTACTTATACGAGCAAGCAGCTACCTTGCCCAAGGTTCACATCGAGAGCTACTATTATGCTATTGTGTTCCATGGGCGTGGCCTATTCTACATGCGGCTTTGCAGAGGGAGGTGGGACAAATGCACTCATATGCCCCTGACAGTAGATATATTTGCATTTCCTAGGGTGACCCAATATGTGGATATCACCAGCACCAACAGCAGAGCCCGACGACTTTCATTAGACCAATCAAATCGATGCAGGAGGTCGGGGGTTCTGGTATCTCCCCATTGCACATGACCTTCGCCAAAACCAATCAATTTATCGTCATTCTTTTCGGTTGCGCAACGATACTCTTCCTCGCAGTACTTGCGATTTCTGTGAATCACCGGTTTCTTCTATCATCTAAGAATGCCTTCTCGAATGATGGTATTAAGGCAATCGACGAACGAGATTTTTACAAGCACTCAGAGACACTTATCAGGGATCATGTGAAAAACCTCAACAGAGCCACTTTATCACTAACAAGGACTAGCGAATATCGACTCCGAAAGAGAATGCAACGCTTTGCAGAACGATTCAAGCACAATTTGGTGAGGTTCTCTTGACCTTAACATATCTCTATATTTTAAAAGACGAAAGATAAATTTATTTTGAAACGAACACCGAACAGTAGTTCTAGTACACCTAATACTTTCAAACTCACACACTTTTAACACCAAACATTGGAAGACTCAAATCGTTGATGCGGATAACAACCTTCGTGCTCTATAAAGGGCGAACCGTATTCGACGTCCATCCTAACACCATTCACAAAAATAGTCATGACGACTTTGAAAATTCGTGACATTTGTTAACCTATTATTCCATGTATTTAAGTGCGAAAGTAAAAGCATCCCCTGAATTGAATGCTGGTGTTTTAAACGTTTATTCTGAGCAATTTTTTTCTCACTCTGCGAAGTTTCTCCAGTGAAGTATTATCCCAATTTCGCATACCCAATCGGTGAGAGTCTTCGGCTGTTGCTTTAGGGCACTCATTTTTCTGTTTTGTAGTTACTAGAGAACCCCTAATCAGGTTTTTTTAAATTCGTCTGAATGACTTGATCAAATGCTGCTTCTTTGCTGTTACAGCTAGGTCTTGAAAGTAGGAGGAATTTTGTATTAATGGTATGGGCTAACTGACGTCTAGACGGTGCTTCATATGAAAACGTTAACAGATTAATTAACCTTTTTGGAAATAGGGTGCGAAGTCCCCATGTTTGACTTTTCAAAGAGACTTGTTACGCCATCGCCTGCCAAGACTTTAACATAGCCACATATATAAATTTATATTGGAGGTGTTACAGGCATTTTGCGTGTTTAGGTCCGCTGCGAGGCTTATATAGCCAGGAAACAATAATCCTGGCCTCACTCCTATCTGCAAAGCTCCCATCTAACAGTGGCAATATTTCATTTAAAAATGCCCTATTTTAGTTCGTGGGAGGGCTAACGAAAACTGCGGAATTAACAAACAAAGCTTTCATTTGGTTGTCAATAGTGTGTCAATATTTGACATCATCAGCAATACTGAGACATCACTTTCGTTGCGCTCTAAATCTAGTGAGAATCTTTTCACCTTTTTAAATAGTAGACATTAATATTGCTTTACTTGCAGAAATCTTCGTATTACTGTGTAAGTGGATTACCTCCAGAATCACAAGTGAAAAAATTTACTTAAACAAATTCTTAAAAATTACCTAGAAGCGGAGCATGGCCCACCTTACTTATACCTGAGTATTTTGGAAAAGATCGGATTCTTTAAATGATTTTAAGGGGTTTTTCGGATGCTCAATGTTATATATATTCATTCGCAAATCACGAATATTGTTTATGAGATAGACAAATTTCTATAGTTAATGGATTAATGCCCCTGATTTACACACATATTTCCCAAATCCAGAGCAGCGATAATGATCTTGCTCAAACAAAAGTTAACCTGAAATTGGAATATAGTGCAATAGTGTATTTTAAACTTTAACAATTTATTGAATAACCTTACAAGTAGATGTTAATTTGGACGTGTACAACCTTCGAAGTAGCTGAGGTAGAAGAATTCAAACAATTGTCAAAAAAAATTCAAGTTGTAATATATCCTTTTTCCCATATTAGTATTGTAAGCATGAGGGCTACCGAGAGGACTGAATATACTCTTTATTATAAACACCGTTTTTTCTTCATAATGTCATTACACATTCAGTAGCGATCGCCAACGTAGTGAAAGAAGCAACAGCAACTGATTACTTGGTATTAAAGGCAGGTTATGAGTACTACCACATCAGATTCTAATCGAGAAAGGCACGCACAGTAAATTAGACTGCTAGAGGAGATGTTTGAATTACTCAAGTTCTATTGCATAAAGGGTGCAGCGATTAGAGATATGTCTTGTGTTGCGGCCTAACACGCAAGAGTAGACCGGGTAATCAGAATCAAACATTTTCTACGGCTCTCCGTCGCACACGCACACACCCGACTTAGAAACTCAAACACTCGTATATCATTTGCGCTTATCTAGACACAAAAATTTGCTTAAACACGCACTTTCGGGTGAGTGAACAAATATACAGGCACAAGCACTCTGTAGGTATATATTTCCCGCTACTATGCTCACGAGGACCCAAGTGGTGAATTAGAAACGTGTTTTTCTTCCGAGCAAAAACTCCATGCTCCACATGTTTTGCTTGCTTCGTAAAAATTCATAAGGTAGCGTCAATGTAAGTGTAGACAATTATGTAGAGTCGGATTCACCGATAAGGTCTGCTTTTTGGCACTTGATGCACTCATGTGAAAATATCATTTTGTGGTAAAATTTAGGCTCACTGTTGTATGGGAATTTCCATTATTGCCCTAATTTCTTGTCATAGGATTTATCGTCCTATATGAGTATTCCTTATCGAATTAAATTTTCGTTTCCCCTATAATTGCAGTTGAGGTTGGCCGGTATATCTTATGCACTCAAAGCCGTAAACTCCCTGAGTCGTTCTGTTATTTTACCAGAGAAATAATGCGCTGGAAATTTCATTTGAGAGTATTCAACACTACGGACATACTTCCAATGAAAGCATTCGCTTTGAGATGTTTTTTTACTAACTGGAACCTCTTTTGAATGAAGTTTCGGAACGGTTGATTCCTAAAAGCGGTTATGACGGCTTTAAAGCATTTAATTAACCAGGAATTTGCACCGTTAATAACATTGTTTTGGTGCCTTAAATGATGATAATCTAAAGCACTCTGATCTCTCGATTTGTTCACTTTCCTCGTGTCTCCAAGCGTAGTTTCTTAATTAAAATCTCCAGAATGGTCTGTACAAAACATTAGAGACTGCGTTACTCGTGCCAAAGCACGACTTGCTTTAAAAAGGCTCGATAAGCATTGCTTATGAATAAAGAAGTCTATGAAATAATCGTTCCGCTTCATCAATGGAAACGTGAACTTTATGCCAATTTTCTTAAGGCTTCTGCTTTGCTATAATGTCACCGTTGATACAGTGTATCTTGGGAGGCAATGAATGATCTTTAATTTCAAAATTACTTGAAGAAGTTAAATGACAGCATATTTGGTTCATTATTTCTCCTTTATCGATGACAGGTAGCAGCGTCTACCAATAATCTGAACCGTTCCATACATTGCAAAAAGATGAAAGCGGATCTTTCCTTCACTAAGACCAGCTCAAGTATGTGCACATTTGAATACATACGCGATTATGTCCCGGTATTAAACAAGGATAAATTTGCACATGTTTAGTATTTACGTCATATTTCATCTTCAAGAAGGGCTGGAATTCCACCAATTTTTCCCGTTTTATCGTGATTTACAGACAATATTTTCGTGAGTTCACTGATTTTGCACGTTTATTCAAGAGTACACTTGGTCAAAGTAAGGGGGAATATCGGGCCTTTTGCCACTCCTTTCGCGGAAAAGTTAATTTGTGTGGATTAAACCACCGTGCTTAACCCTCGGTTGAAGCGTTTTTATTAAAAAGGGCTTCACAGGACTGCTTGAGCAAAGTAGATTCGGTGGTCGCCAAAGATGTCTAAGAGGGGAACTAAGGAAGGGCACAGTATTTACCCTCCCTAAATGGGTCATTACTGGGCATTGTAAACGACATCAGCCGCCTGTGCCAACCACCGCGAGCATTCACACTTATTCAGCGTTGGTAACACCATAAAGTATTTTCAATGGTGTTGCATGCATCAATGTCCATATCCACAAATGTATGTGTGTATGTGCACGCAATTTAAGCGACTTTATCTAAGTCGCTGTACTTTTACGTTCGTGTCGGGCTGAATCTGTGAGATCACAGCACAAAGGCTCACACGTTGAATGCGAATAATAAAACAACTCTAAAAGCATTTGAGGTGAGCGGTTTCCTTGACGTCCCGAGACCATCCTAAGGGCGAAAGAAGACGTAATACTCTGAGAGAATGTATATTACTGACAAACAGAAGGACTTGGGGCTACTGGCGTGGATTAAAGGCCAGATTACTCGGTGGAAGTACAATAGGGAACCCCTAAATGTCCCCTTACCAAACAAACAATTCAAGCATTACATTTTCACCGTAGCCAAATTGCCCTATTAACTGCCTTCAAGGGTAGTTTTGCTACTGATTTTTCAGTGAAGTAGCAAATCAATGTTGTGAAAAAAGAGAATACCCATTTATAAAGTTGGCGCTTATGGTAAACTTTGGGATCCAAGGTATGCGGGTTAAAACAAGGTCTTTGAAGGGTAGTTGCAATTCTGCACCTGTGAGAGTCATACGAGTCATCCGATTCCCAGTAGCATCAGTTTATAAGCTTGCCTGAGCATAAAATTAAAGTATTTAATAAGGAAAAATTTGTCCAATAAAAAATTCCCCCCAAATAATAACACCGACTTTAATATTTCATATGTTTGAACTAGAGTCTAAAATATGGGCAATACTTTCATTTTAAAATACATTGAGCGCTGTCAAATAAAAGCTATTTAATTTTAACTTGAAGGAAATCCGTATTTGGCAAGAAATTGGTGAGTTGTACATGATTTGCGTTGCAAAAATGTCGGAAGCAACCTGAAACAGAGGAAGCGGTGCTTTCAGATTTGACTTTCTACTAAATAAAGGCTTCAAATGAACGCCGTCGTTTTCGTGTTTGCAGGACCATTTCACGACGTTGAGAGTAGAAGAGGACACTTCAGTGAATGAAGGTTAATTTGATTTGTGAGTGGAATTGCTACCCATCTGTGGTCATTCCAGCTCATTCGAAAAACTGCTTGAAAAGAAGACATCATCGGCCTTTTATTTAAGCTGTGTTTTAATCATAATTGTTATTTCACATGACTTTCCTATTAGATGTAGAGTGACATCTGAAGTAAAAATCGCTGGATTTTGGGGCCTCTAGTACCACGAGTTGTGCAATAGCAAAAAAACTACTGAGCGTACAGCAATGATTCCACTCAAAAATATTTGTGAGCCGTGGAATCTACCTTATTAGCCACTTCTTGGAATAACTTTTAGTGGAAAAAAAAAAACTTTTCATTTCTCCACTCCAATACCTGATGTTTCATGAAACCACATCCCTATTGTTATCCAAACAAAGTCATTATCATTAAATTACGCCGGCAAATCCCATGGTAATCGGAGATGTATATAGAGAAAGAAATTCAGCAAAGCTATAGACGTATCAGTGGCTTTAGAAATTATTTTAATTGTAAAGTCTTTCAGAAGAAAACCAAACTCCATCAAAGAGGCCAAATATTTGATTCCAATACGTTTATGCGTGAACTATTTTAGACCTGGACAGACCTAGCTGCACGCAGTCAAGTGATTAAATCAGAAATAACTCGACCTGATTTAAGGGATTACAGTGAAGGAGATGAAGCTAGCATTATGATGTTGCATACGAAAGACTAGTACAAAGTTTGCATAAAGGCTAGTTACCATGGCGACGACTCCGTCTCTCATTACCATATTTGAGAGAAGGGACCGAAATGGTTAATTAATTCATTTGCCGCGGACCACCGTTGGCTTCTGCACAAGACATTATCCTTGAAAAATGGTACAGTACCTTATCGTCCGTGGCTTCGATGAATCTAAAATAGCATCACAAATCCTGCAAAAAAAGGAGAAAATCAGTTTCACAGTTTGATCAAGCTTTTCCGACATTGCCGTGTCTCTGTCCGCGACTTGTGGCGCCCACACTCTTGGCATGAAAATAACCGTAGCACTCCTGTCCACTCCCCCAAAATGGATGACATTGCTACTCTTCAAAAAGTTGACTAATTCACTTCCTGATTGAGACTAGCTGATAAAGTGAATGACGGTTGCTGCATCCACCGTATTCCTTCGTGCCTCTTGTTAGCCAGGGTTTCGTGTGATATAGATGCTTCAGCAAGTTTTGCAATCACATCCACCGCCTTGACGAGGGATCTGATAAGCGGACTTAAATGTGATAGTCGCCCAGTCCTTCTCTCACACAGACTGCTAAGATGTTAACAAGCTACCTGCACTTTTCATATCGTTTTTCCAGTCCCCTGTATTGCTCCTTTTTTATTATAAAAGCCCTACATTCGTGGTTGGCACATTGCTAATTTTGCAAATGGTTTTTGACAATAAGTTTTAACTAAAATCATACCAAACCAACTTAAAAGTTTCTCCACTAGTACCTTATAGCTGCATCAGAGCATTACGAAGAATGACAAAATCTCGTGCTTCAGTGCTAATCACAATTGATGTTACTTATTGAAGTAATTTAATTTTAAGTCTCATATTTTTTCAGAGACTGGACAAGCAGCTAATCAAAACCCGCATAAAAGGCAAAAATATAACTCGTTTTAAAAAGATAGCTTTAATAAGCCCCACGCAGTGGTTTGGCCAGTGGCAAATACTCCGGTGGCTTTGAGTACACCCAGACCGCAGTGCTCGATTAACGCGCGATAAGATCAACATCAACTACCGCAAATGAAACCGTCGTGGGTGTTGAGCCCGCGTTAGCCTGTTTGGAATTTGCTATCTCTTGTATTTGTGAAAGGGAACCGGATATTTCCACAAATCCTTCATGATAACTAAAAATTTTTGATGTGTTTCGTCTACGGTAATTTGTATAAGTTTCCACTTCATTTCTTCATCAAAAGTCTAGCCAGATTACAGTGAATAGAAATGGCATGGAATTTGTCCCATAGTTCTTGAACTTTGCATCAGGACCTTGGGTAAACCAAGAGCGGAAATTTCTAAAATTTTAGGGTAAAGGTAAAAGCTCAAAGTCCCAGAATGATGGGAAGCTTTTATGGTGTAAGTATTGCCCTACATTTTTTTGTTGTGGAAGCAACTAGTTTCAAATCGCAGAAATGTATGCTTAGTAATAAGTTTTATTTTTGTTTATGAACTTCACATAATTTTAAAAGAACCCAGTTGATGCTTGCAATAGATTCGGCAAACATCGGCGTTCACCGATGTTTGAAGCTAACTGTAACAAAAGAATAATATATGAAGCTGATTTGAAATTCATACAAGTGCGCAAAAAAACGTTTTTCCACTCTGGCGCTTCGTTTGGCTTGCTGATTACTCCAGGATTGAAAATCGTACACTAAGTGAAAGACCTTTTAAATAATGATGAGTTTTTTTGTGGACACCACCTTAGAGGCATGTGGAGGACCGATTTCGCGCGGAGACCTGTCAGATTGCTCGACTTCTAGCAAAACCACGATGGTCTGGAGAAACTCTGACACTTAGCAGTGAGACTTCTATTCCATCCGTCTGCTCCCCACCCTCGATGAAGCCGGTCGATGTGGAAAACCTCTTTCGACAGGAACTTTGCCAATTTCTTCCGCTCAAACCCTCTCACCTTCCACAGTTTCTCGACCGTCCAATCAGTGAGCAACTACCTTATCACTGACAAAAGGCTTAGACAATTTTTATACCTGACAAAATCTGTTTTGGGGCTACAAATGATGCGCCAAACCGAGGTGAAGATAGACTGAGGTGGAATAATAACTCTCTCATGTATTATCCCCAAAACATTCTAGAAAAACTTTGAAGTCAACTCGGGAGAAATTAGACTACGGTAAGGAGTGATATGCCAATACGGTGTCATACATTTCAAATAGCAGATGTTTCATAGTTTTCTCGCTTATAAATCGCGAAGCGTCAACCTTTTAGTGTTGCCCGAGCTAGGCATCCCTTCACTGGGTGAAAGAAAGGGCTACAAAGCCGTTATTTAAAAGCAATCCTTTGTTATCTCTGCGATAAATCAGCCTAGAGATGTTGTGAATTTGAATCGTTTTCGCTTTGCAAATGCGGTAGTGTTCCAGTGTCGGATTAACTTGCATTTATCGTCTCCTTGAGCTGAGTCACTGCAATTTGGTGTTTTAACATTGACATTTAACTGCTCGCAAAATTTAGAATCATTAGATTCGTACGTTAAAATTACGTGGGCATTTGAGTTTGCTAAACTGTTGTGAGGTTTTGGATGAAACTTTATGGATGCATTTTTCTGCTTACTTGGCAGCCAGATTCACCGAGGTCTCTTCGTTGATAGGTCAGTGAATTTACTTCAAGTGCAGTTCATCTTATCGACATTGTTGAATTTGCCTACTTTTCTGCGATTCTTCTTTGAAAGTGGATTTGCACTTTAGCAAAATACAAAACTAAATAAATGAAACTATTAGATAAATTCTGATTCACCCCGGATTAGCCTTAAAAGTTAAAATCCTGTGGAACGAAAGCATGTAAGTTTATACCAAGTATGTAGTTCAATTTAGTAGGTTTTTGGCTTTGAGTACCTGATTTTATCACAAAAGGACATTACATTAATGTTGTTCTCACTGTACTCTCCACTCCGTAAAACCATTTCTCCGTAAAATGATATCCCGTAATCACGATCATTTGGTTTTTACTATGTAAGCAAATGAGCACAAATGTGTTAGGGAAAGTGACACCTTTTAAAACGTAGAAGTTGGATTGGAATTCTGTGGTAAGTTAGTCAAATAAGCCTTTTTTTCTGCTGTTCTCCTTTATGTTTTGCAGCTTAGTAACCTGAGTGTGTTTTCAACTCTACCCCCTCCATGTTATCTTTAATTTTGATAATAAAATGAATAATATTTCCCTTGATGGCAACATTGGCGCCTTACAACTTAGCTTTTAACATAATCAATTCCTGAATTTGAATGAATTGCTAGTGCCTTAGTTTCCATCTATTGTTTGACATGTTTCCTCTGTTCAAAAGTCATTTGATACTACTTCCAGAGTTATCAACTCGAGCGGTGCTAAAGTTTATAAATATTCTGGAGAAATGGTACCGGTGGATCTAATTCATTTGAGATTTCTAATGATCCACTATCTGAAATCTTTTATTTTTTCCTTGAAATTGGAATTAGTTAGTCGAGAAATTTTTATCCAAGCATCCCGTATATGCTTAATGCTAAGGGTTTTCAAAATTTTGGCATTCCACCTTTATCGACGTAACATCAAAGAGTTGCTCTTCCATTCGCTCCTTGAATATTTTACGGCAGTAGCAATCAAAGTGCCTATTTCTCGTTAAAAGCTTAATGGATAAACTGTAACGTTTAAGGCCATATAAAGTATTCACCCGTTTGATTTTGCTTTGGGGTTTATTTTTCCAAACTCAAGATGCAGAGGAATTATTAGCTTCCCTCCACGGCTACCTGAATTCATGCCATCCACAATTGTTTAAAGTTTTATGGTTATTTACTGTTATAAAAGTAATAGAGTAGAGTACGTAGATGATCCTTTGCCATGGAATTTATTAACATAATGCAGAAAGTTCTGCATTTTTTGACTTCCTTTTTGGCACACGAATCAAGTCCGTAGGCTATTTGTAAGTAGTGTCTAAGCAACCTATCTTTCTTTTTCTATTAAGCTACAAATAAACCAACGGTAGTTTACAATATAAAGCGCGTAATTAACAAGGCAAGGTAGCAAAACCCTTAGATCTGCCGCCTATTTGTTTACTCACAAAACGCTTTGCCATTGGTGGCATTACATCCCCTAAAGCCACACTTTTTTGCCCATATTTTATTGTTTAACCATGGACAAGGTAATAGTTTTTACTCATTTAAGTTTTGTTCACCACCTGATATAAACCTGGGTTTCCTCTGCTAGTACGTGTGAATAACAATCCAGGGTTCAGTGTTACCGGCATCGTTAGCTCCCATTGTCGAGCACAAAAGATTTCAGTATCCCAAATGGTATTTCATGGGCAAAGTAGGATTGAGATAAGAAAGAAAAACAAGGGGACCCACGAATGCTAAGCTATGATTGGATTTGGCATTGTCCTCATGCCACCTATGTATGAAGGCTGGTGGTTGAATCTAATCATGTTGCAACCGTTTCCGTAAATGACGTCTCCCCATTTTATTCCTACGCGGTGCACAGCAACGTGTTTCTTTTTCTGTGGTGACGATTTGAAATGCACTATCATTTATCATCTTACTTTCAAGTAGATTTAGGTTAGTTTTTACTGTTTTCTTTAGAAATGCACACTAAGCTTATTCAGAACAAGAGAATTATCACTCGGCTTTAAAATAGAAAGATTGGGTTTTAAAAATATTGTCGCTCAATATACTCAGGTTTAAAAATGGCTTCATTGCAGAAAAAATATTGAATGTTGATAAATGGACTGATGGTAAAGAGGAACTGAAAAGTTAATCAAGTGAAAATTGACCAGAAAGTTACGACCGGAAGGATAACATCGTGTATTATGAGGTGATTACACTACGTTATTGTTAGTGTATCACAACCAGGGGCAAAAGCGACATCTGATTGCGTTGATTGATGCTCTGTCTGGGGGAAAAAATATTATTTTGCTATTGGATAGCGACAAAATATTTGATGTGTTGAGCAGTCTTGTAAAAAACTAATTGTTTTAAAATGGCCAATCAAACTGGTTTGGAAATTTGGTGTTATAAATGTGGCGCTTTGAGATTTCTCTCAAGGCAAAAGAAGACATAATGTTCGGTCAGCATGTGCATTGCCGACGCAGAGAAGGGCTGAGAGGCTACTGACATGGCTCAAAGGCCGCGCCGCTCGGCGGAGGTGCAATAAATCGAGCCCTAAGTGGATCGTTACAGAAACCAAGAGCTAAGCAAACAATTAAAGCATTGCATAAATGCAATTTGTTCTTTGCGCCTTCTTTTATTTGCCTTACTTGAATTTGCCTCGTAAAGCGCCTTTTCTCAATGCTACCAGTAGACTCATGTCAGCCGGTAGTTACAATGAGCAATCGCTATTTTGTCCGCTGTGGTAAACAAAGCATTTTTGAGATTGACCACGTTTAACCTTACATGAAATAACTCCGATTTCGCCTTTTTTTGGTGTGCAAGTCAGTAGTTTTTGTATCTAGCCTTATTTAGACTTCATTTCAACCCGGTTCCCGCGCGCTTAAATGGGCAGCATGGAATGAATTAATCCTTTCATGGTGAACCCGCTATTTAAATGCGAATTTAAGGACATTAACATTTCACAACGCGGTGAACGCTTTTCGTCGAACAGTTGCGTGAGACTTTTTTGCCTTCATTAAAACATGCAAACAGAATTTTCTGCCTCGATTTCTTTTGCTCCTTCGTTCCTTGTTCCGCGACTGCTGTTATATTGGAGCCAAAAATACCCCTTCTCTTCGACTGCGGCAATGGCAGATTGGGAACAATGAATTTTAAACTAAAAAGGGACACGGAAATGTTTATCCATATCACCACTGGTTGAACTTTTTACATCCCTTTTCTGCTCTTCCGTTTCATTTATATTTCAGATTATATTTTGGACCCTAAAGTCATAGGCATGCTATAATATTGCAGCCCCCCCGGGACTTACCTGAAGACGAAATAGGACATAAAATTCGGACAGAATATGTATTGTCATCGTACAGAAGGGCTTGGAAGGCCACTGGCATGGCCCGGCGGCTAGGCCGCCCGGTGGACATACACAGGCGGGACTCCTAAGTGGCCCGTTGCCGAAACTGAGAGTTAGGCAAACTATTAAAGTGTTACAATGCAAGCAAGACTCATAATTTCCACAAAAAACTATTAAGTCAGCATTTTTTTTCCTCCTGAAAATAGAAAATTTCTCTTCTCACAATCGTTTGCTGGGTAAATGAATGTTCATGTCGAAGCCTTCTCTCCTTTCCAGTGACTGAGAATGCTTGTTTCAAATGAATGAATATCAAGAGCTGCAAGATGCCTCTCAAGCCTGTAATATAATTTTTTCCCAAAACAATACATTGCCCTTTACTGGTGGCGACTTATATAGTCTCTTGCTTTGATTTTTTTAGTCCAAGACAAAGTACATTTACCCCCTTAACAACTTTTTTTGTAGTATCGGACTGCTTCAGCTTCTTAAACTTTCATGCAAAAAAGTCTCCGTATCGGGCTACTTTAATACAAATTAGACGTCAAAACACTCTTAACTATGGTCAACATTTAAAGTGGATGTAATCACTACACCAATTCATTATATCAGAGTCCCATATTTCTAAGCTTATACTAAATACCTGCTGTTTCTTCTCCTCCATGCACTTCCACAAAAGGTGCTCCAAATCTCATTAATGTTCATTCCATTTAAATTCTCTCATGGAAAGCTCAAGCTGTCAACAACGGTTTAAAAAGGTGGAATCAGAAAAAAACCCTCTTTAACGATAGAGAAATCAAGCCTCCGGCGAAATGTAAATTCATTATTTGAAACATTTAAATAAATCTACAAATTCCACTCCAACTGGAAAAGGTGATGGAGAGCGCACGCAATGCCACACGTAATAAGGCATTAAATTGCCACTGAAATAAAGCCTGGGAGCACGTTTTGGCCTCTTATAGTTACAACAAATGAAAATTTGTTTGCTGTTTTTAAAAAAACTTCGTTATGTAAAAGCTTATAAAACGTCATATTAAAAGAGACGTGGAAAATATTAGTAGAGAAATTGGCTAAAACGTTTAAGTAAACCAGCGTCCTTATGTAAAAAATAGGATTTGCCATTATAACGACGTTTTTCAAGTTCTCTTTACGTTTTCACAATTTCTCTGATGACTTTGACAGTGACTTTGATCCAGTGAACGTTACCGTCCTGAAGGGACAAAAACGTCTTTATGTACAAAGAGAGATCGCAAAGAAAGTGTTAAAAGAGCATAAGAAGGGGAAGCAATTCAGTTAGTGTCTCTGTTGCCTCAGCTAGGTGTGAAATCATTGCTTTATGACTTTGAACTACCTCATTTCTCATATTGGACTTCTTAGCTTTTTTGGGTAACTTTTTATCCTCAAAACCAAGTTTCAGTATTATTGATGTCTTGTATCCTTTTTCTCTTTTATCAACCTGTAGTTTTAAAGTAGAAGTTACTATAAAACCTGTAAATCAAGTTGTCACTCCGTACTATGCTTAATACAGGCAACTGTAAATATTGACTGCTCTCATACAAATCACTAAACCTTTACTAGATAATTGAACGTCAGCCATATCTAAAACACCGACTCATGGGAGCGCATTTTTTAAAAAAGCTTAGTTTAGGTGGTGAATACCGATGCTAACAAATGCCAGTGCCTTGTTTTACGCTTACAATATGCTATATATTTTGAGTTCCAATGTGATTATTTCCTTCCTTTATTCAAAAGAACAACAGTACTGGCAGACTACAAGTGCGAGTCCCATCACCTACCTCTGGAGGGCTTTGGCCAGTTGGATTGGTGGCTTGAGTCTCGCGAGCCCATTGGTGGTGAGCCACTTCCTCGTCATCGCGCTCTGTATCGCGGTGGTGATGTTTGGCCTCATGGGCATCTTCCAGTCCATCGGTAGCCTGTGCCATCGCCTGCAACAAGACGGGCCGGCATTAGGTGAGCATTGTGTTCACCTTCTCTCCGCGGTGCCGCCGCCGCTCGAGAGAAAATTTGGGCCTCCTCCACCTCGAGTCTTCTCGGTGATAAATAGAACGTCCTCTTCCTCTCCTACTCCTCCAAGTCTGTCCATCGATGGCGTCAAGATCGTAGACACCGCGACACTCGTTGGCGACGGCGGGATCTGCAACGCACAGCAATATGTGCTATTTTCCAATTCTCTTCAACAATCAGAAGCCACTTTTGTTCTTTCAACTGAGCGTTCACCGCGGTTTTGTCCCGACAATTCGGAACCAGCTGGGGTATAACTAATTCCGCAATTGTGTATGAGGAATTAAAAGGACAAATCGTTGCCTATGTATCCGCCTTTTTACAAAAAAAAGAAGGATTACGTGATTGAAGGAAAGGATTTTGTAAAAACTAAGTGGAGAATTCCACTAATCAAAATTAGGTGGTGCGTTATGCAATCAGCCTAAAAGACCTGCAGGAAACTATCAAGAAATATCAGCCTTATTAGTACAGAAAAGACTATGCATTTACTTCTTGACTTAATCGAAGGCTGGAATTGTAATGCGTTAGTTGTTTGTTTGACTCTCGGTTTCGGTACAGGGGCCAAGCTGGATCTCCACCATTGTACCTTCGCCGGGTTGACTGGCCTTTGAAACAAGCCCTACTGTATGTCTAATATGTACATATATTATGCCCAATATTATGTTTTCTTCTATCACCAGGGAAGTCTAGGGGTGCTACAAATATTACTCGAAGATTTAGGATTTTAAATTCCAAATGCTTCCTCCTGGCAAGTCCATAAACTTTTACTTTTGGCTACACATGTTTATGTTCTTTGCAAATATGCAACGCCCTCGTCTATAGTTCATTTCAAAGGTTGCTTTTGCATTATTATCTGGTTCGATATGGTCTCAAATACGATTTAAGAATGCATAAACCTCAGGAAATAAGGACGATACGGCCCAGCGAAAAGCATAAAAGAATTTTGAAAACGTGACCGTTCATCTAAAACAAAGCAAGGTTTGCGCGAAATCTGGACCAGGAAACTATTATAAGAGTACAATAATACCCAAACACCTTGTCGAAGGATGAAAGTGAGAAAAAAGTTTTTGGAAACAAAGGGGGCTATTATGGAGTTTATAAACTAATGTGATTATTTTGAATACTACGCAAGAAGTTAAAATGGACATTAGAGCTAAATACTCTTATTTCAACTTGTGGGCACTGGTTTAAACAAAAAATAGGAATTTCGTCTTTAAAGCACACTGCAATTATTAAAGTGCGCTACTTCTTTAAATGATAAATGCATAACTTTTCCAATACGTAATAAAATAAGAGTGGATCGGGGTAAAAGATTTCAGGTTCGGCGTAGTTTTAGACACCTTAACACTTTACATTGGACTAGTCAACACAGACCTTTTGTTTTACTTAGTGCTATTGTGGGGCTTCCCTGTCTCCACCAGTGCATGATTCGTGTTTGGGTTGCGTTCTAAAGTGGAGCACGCGGTTCGGTAGCGTTAACAATAAACAGGTAAGTGATGATAAAAAGGCTGTTATGAAGTGGGTGTTGAGGTAGCACCGGTGTCGACTCTTTGTAATCTTACTCGCATAGTTGAGCGCAAATGTGAGTGTAAGACAAAGGGATACTAACTTGCTCATACTCCAAAGATTCCTCACAGAGCAACGTGGAGTTTGGTTTGTGAGCCACATTCTTCCCATTTATGCGTTGGCTGGTGCACCAATCCTGTTCATGCTTTAAGTTTTAGTAATCTGATCTGTCCCTACTACTTTTTCGACTGTGTACGTTTATTTCTAGATTGCCTGTTGCGGAACAGCAACCGAGGTGAGATGTGTAAACTTGATGACTCACGACAAGCATATGTCTGCTTTCTAATGATAACTCCTATCTGACTTCTATACCTACGAATACCCAAGACTTTCTTCCATTGTAGCTTCGGGTGAGGTCATCGTATGATGGCGTTTGACAGTTACGCGTCTCCATCATAGTAAACACTGTGGTCCTCCGTCTCGCCTTCGTTTAATTGCAATCCTCGTTCTAGGTACGTGCGCTGGTTTTCAATGAAGAACGCTGGGGTGCGCTCACAACATACTTCACTTTGTTATTTGTGGTGTATGCTTCCCAAGAATTGCTTTTCGCATTCACAACCAGTGGGCTCTTATGCATAAATGGGGGTGAGGGATTGGCGTGGGGTGCGCTGGCATAAATGCGATGGGGCATCGCTGGTTGGTGTTTTCAGTATTTCTAACACGTCTTTCCTGGGCGAGTTTGGGATCTTGCGGGGGTGGTTGGGAGCTTCGGAAATGGCAGTGGCGTGCTTCTGGTACTGGGGGCAGGGTGGAAGGGCTGCGAGCCTGGTGTGACGCTCACCCAAGCCGAGAAAGGTGTCGGCTACCAGCGTGAGGATATCGGTCGGGTGGTGGGGAGGTGCAGGGTCTCCCCAGTGTAGATCTGGCGCCTCTGCAGGTGTCGGCTTGTGCTTTTACACCTGGGTTGGTGCGCCCCGCGAATGTTCCGTAGATTGGACGGATTTCACCCCTGTGGTCTGCTTTCAAGGCTAAAAGCGTGGGTCAGGCGTCAAGCTATTGCTAACATGGGGTCGGAGGGCTTCTATCTCGCTGATTATCTGTTTCGGGACGTGTTATCTGACAAGCGTTTTCGCTACCTCAAGTTGTCCCCGGCTATTTTAGCTGTGGACATCGGAAGTCGAGTCATTGTGTTCTGAAATACATTTAAGAGAATCATTGTGCCTTGTGTACAGGGGTTGTCGTCGGGGCGGAGCGAGGTGGACGGCATGAAATGTGAACGTTTGTAAAAACACCAAGGCCGTTTCTCGGCATGCTAAGGAATGTCCTGCGCGCCGGCCGCCTCTGCCTTCATTCTCCTCACTTCTTCTTTGAGCTGTTTCACCACTAGGGCTAGGGCCGTGGGATCAGCACCATTTTCTATGAGTCGCAGCGATGCTCGGAGTTCCTCCTGACTCAAACCTAAAATCGTAAAACCTGGTAAAGATGCGTAGGGCAGAGCCCCCAAGAGTCAGGGGAATCGCTTACCAGTGCCTAGCTCCTTTGAGATTTCGTACAGAATTCCGAACACTTCCGCGTTCACAGAAAGCTCATGTAAATCGGACATCTGGGCAAAATAATTTACATCGACCCATTAGAGAGCACCCAACCTGGGGGTACGCGTTCAACCGCCATTTTTTGCAATAACCTATGCGTGATCACAGGACAGCAACAAGAACCGTGTTTTATGGACTAGCAAAATAAAAGAAGAAACAGTAACAGCATGAATAAAATATATTTACAAACTTAGGTCAGTACAAATTCGAGCAGGAAAAAAACAGTCTCATCGGCAGAACTCATAGCCGAAAAATTTTTGCACACGGAAGCGAGGATGGATCTTCTCGCCGTCAGGAGTGTAAAGGAGGTAGCGCAGGCAGGTGATGCAGAGCATGGTGGGATCCTTGGGAAGCAAGTCGCCGGCGTCGTGCACCAGCCACTGCGCCCGCAGGCTGTTACACGCCTCACATGACATCCGCTTTTGCGGCGCCTTTCCCGTACACTTGGGATAGGCCGACACGGACTGTGCGCAGGTCCGGTCGGTCAACCTAAAGGTCATGTAAAACTACGTCCTCTGAAGTGGCTGGGGTATCATTGCTCAACAACCATACTACTGTTTTGACTTGCTATTTGGTAAACGACTATCAAATTTGTGAAGAAGCTATTATAAGTGGATGGGTATGCACACCATCCCCCGTTTTCAACCTTAGAGGATCGTCCCGAGGGGCGATGTGAATCTAATTTTCCATGTGCCTCCTACGTGGGCACTTTTACGAAAATCAGTATTCAAACAAACCATGGCACTCATCTCTCTAGACCTTGTCGTGGTAACTATGTTCACTGCAAAAAAGTACATTGATAATTTCAGAACCACAAGTGGAAAGGCTTTGTTTGGCGTGATTAGGGAAAAATTGTTCAGTAGAGATAGAAGATGAACACATCTCTCCATTGTCCACTCCAATATTGCTGCGAAGCACATCCGCCTTAACGTCCTGGAAAATGCTGAGTGCTTTGAACAATCAACCGTTCAGACTCCGACCATTCGACACGTGTCTCGAGTGAATACTTACGAGTAACCGTAAAAACATAGCGTTTAAAAATCGGAATAAAAACTAGTCAGCAAATCGTACATTGGAAGTTCAACCATAAAAATGCTCAATTTTTGCGCACTGTTAAGGCCATGAAGTCAGAAAGTGTTAACAGAGTACCACACACCTCATCGTGGTGAAGATAATAATGTGTTCGCAGTTCCCTTGGTGTAGGAAAAGATATGGCTTTCCTAGCGTAACAGTAAGGTCGCCCAACACGTGATCAGCCATGGTAGAAGCAGAATAGGTCTCAGTAACCCTCTCCTTACGATTTTCTTGCCATTCAATGACGGGGCTAGGGAATGGGAACATTGAAACCCGTATAAAACGCATTATGACGACCTCAAGTAGCCCTAGTAAATCTACTGTAGTGTAAAATAAACAACAGCTGCAAAAACACTCGGTATTCAGTCAGAAAATGCTAAGGAAAATGGTTCCAGATTATGTTTCAATATAAGGAATTTGGGGAACGGGAATACAAAGAAGGTAAACTTACGTGCTCAATCTGGTGGCTCTGGGATCGCGCAAATCATCGTAAAAGACTCCTTCAATAAAAAAGTAGGAAGAAGGATACATGGCCCGGGCAGGAATATGCACATCCGGATTGTCGATAGCTTCTGAACAGTCACCCAAATAGATCATATCCTGAGGACACTTTATCGCATCCCGCAAAGTGCTTAACATCTGAGAACCCAAAATTTCAATTCGCTGTTCCATCACCATTGTCCAGGGCTACAAAGGCAAGCAACGTATCAGTATTGGACGAATAACGTAAGGAAGCGATTAGCAGATTGAACATATGAATTAAAAAAGCAATTTAGAGATGACATTTCGCAAAGACTTGCACATCACGATGTGAGCATGATATACGGGGAAAAATTACAGCATTACTACAGTCGACGACGCTGAGTGCGATAGGTCGGTATACGAATACCGTGAGAACAACGTCTTGAATTGGCAAGCCACAGTCAAAGAGACCATCTGGCGAGTTCAGATATCCCATATCCACGAGGGGTCTCCTAAAGCGGCTTCGTATGCCCAGTGAATTTTTCTCAATATCTTTTTCAGAAAGGTCCTTTGGAATGGCCTCCAGCGTTTTGAGTGGCTCTAAGTGGCGACTCGCTCGATCTGGCAAAACATGAAGCAATTCGTCCAGAGTGTGAAACTCGTCCTCTACGTATAAATTGTCTAGGCTAGAATGAAAAGCATACTTAGTTCCAGAAGAGAAGTAAAACCAGACTCAACCAGCAATAAGACGCACTCGCAATCCTTTTGTAATTCCTCAAACAACTCTTCACTCCCCAATAGGGATATCATATGGGACTTGAGTTGCGAGTCAGCTTCTTTTTCCGTAACACAGAAGAATTCGTCCGGGAGCTCTGTGAGAAATTGCTGGAGTAAATCTTTGGCATTTGTCGTGGGACATGGAATGGTAACATACTCGTGAACGTCGGTCATGTTTCCAAACAAGGCGGAGTTGGAGAAAAGCGCGGCGTGTCTAAACAAAATAATAAAATGACAAATATTTTTGTTATCTCATCCACAAACTGCAGTTTTTAAAATATTTCTAAAATATTAGAGACTCCATGGTCCAAAAGTGGATTTTACTTGGGTCTATTGTATCATTCGTTTCATTCCTAACAGTGAATCAGCCCCCTATTCAGTAACAGTCTTGTATTTTTACTTTGCCAACATTCGCCTTCGAAAATTGGCTTTAGAAGCCTACCATGTAGTAGTAGTAATAATGGGAACCCAGGGTGACCTCAATCGAGTTTTCCCGTCAGTACAATTAGAGGTGCAGAAACAGTCATTCAAGGCAAACGGGATGGTGAGAAATACTAGGTCTCGTGGCAATTATCACAGTTCCTCAATGAACAAACTGAAGTTGAATTACTTGCTTATGGGTTTGAAATCGGTTCCTCACTTAATTGACTTTATCTTATTTAAAAACTCTGATTGTAGTCTTTGTTTCGGCTGGTTTATAGTTCCATTCCTTTTGAGCGTATGTACTTGAAATAAATCCAAATAACTAAAATTACATTTGTTCGGCAATGTGGAATCCCCACAATCGCCAATATTTACTAAAACACCCTCTTTTTGCATGTCTGGTACCTTGTGGTTTGGGAAGCAATCGCGCCTAAAAGTTTTTTGTTGAAAATGATTTCCGGAGAATTCTCCACAAAACTTAAAAAATGTTTTAAAGCCCTTGTAAGACGTGGTCATCTTCAACCAAACAAGTAACATTAAGCCCTTTATAACAGATAACTAACTAGTAAATGGTTTATTTCATTTAAGTGAATAATTTTTCCTGCTGAATACACCCCAACTGACAAAGCGCATGTTTTAGAAAAAAGTCTCGAATAATAGTATTTGGTGGACTTATCCACACTTCTCATTCAGTGAGATGAAACTTCTGAGCTTTGTATTTCGGTCCTCATGGGTTTGGCAGATCACGAACCATCTCCTCCGACCTAAACACTTCCCGCATTACATGTCAGGATTCCCGGCACTGATGGGGTAATGCTGCAGCCCAATGTTTTTAGTCTCTTTATTGAATTTACTAACTTCTTGACTTATGAAGGGAAATTGTTTTATGATACTGCAGGCGTTTTTACCACAGTAATCAATTTCTCACGGCTTAAAAGTGCTATATAAAAAGAGATAAGAGGTGTTTAATGAAAATCTCCGTAAACCCATACTGAGGATAGGTGTAATGATAAATGCAGGCATGATGAGGGTCAAGTAACAGCTAAATTAAAGTCGGTATGACGTGTTGTAGTGCATGAGAAACATGCCATATAGTGGGGTTCGTCTGTCCATCCAGCAAAAACCTCACCTATTTAAGGTTTCACTGTCAAATTAGTGGGCATGTGTGTGTGAATATTGGCTACTTAGCAAGAACCATACTGAAACTGCTTTGTAGTCCGCTTCTAAGATAAAGCCGTGATTCCTCGTGCCTGTTGTACCTGCAAACCAGAACCAAACCACTATAAAGATTGTCTGAGAGTTTTCATTGCAGAAACTAATATCATGTGCAAATTTTAAGAAGTGTGGATTCTTTTTGTAAGATTAATTTTAAATGAGACTAAGGACGCTTGCACCCCTACTTTCCAAGATATCTGCAATTGAGAAAATACGAAAAAAGTGCGCCAGAGTTTACTGGTGAGGTGACTGCAGTTTATGTGACAATCAAGATATGGAATGGTGATTTTTAATTATCCGATTCTGGAAAAAAAGTGCCATCTAACCATCCTTTCCAGTGAAAAGTAGGCTCTTGTATTCCTTTACGATCAGTCTGGATAAAAAGGAGTTTGAACAGCAAATGTTGCATAAATTTTTAAACTTCGGTATTATTAATGCTGTTGTAAGTCACGCCATTTAAATGAGGTTTTCAGCTTTTACACGTTCAACAACATGTTGATCGAAAATATACGCTATCATTTCCTGAAACCCTGGACTTTGTTTTGCTGTTCGCAACTCCTTCCTATTCTAAAATTCCTTCAGTGGGTAATCGAATGATTATGATATTTTCCATGTCGTTTTAGACTATAATAAATGCCCGGCGGTACTTAAACTGTATCCGCTATTACTGCAGTGCATCGAGTCTTCCCCAAAGTCGAAAAAAGTCTTGACTACATTACCAAAGCACAGAAGAGCTGAGGCTACCGGCATGACCCGGAGGCGTAACCGGCAAGAAAAAGTACAATCTTCGGGGAATTAAGCGGCTGCTTATTCAAACGCAGAGTTAAATGAGTCATCAAAGCATTATATAAGCCATCTTCTCTTTTGAGCGTCTCCGGCTCACCACAACGTTTGGGGCGCTGCGGAACAACCTCACGAACCAACCGTTCCCCTTATTGGGTTCGGGTGCAATTGATGAGGTGCCTCACCGCAAAGTTACTGCTACCTCTTGGCGTTTCCACTAAGTCTGGAGGTCTGTCCAGTTTGGGAATTGTGTTTGCGGAAAGGAAGGATGTGCTGGCCATCTCGTATGCCCATCGCTAATCGTCAGAACACTGGCCAAAAAAGCCGAGTTAGTTAATAAGGGACGGTGCTTGAAAAGATTTTGGGGATAAGGTTTTGGGCCAATTCCTCCTTGCCAGATTGGTCTTACTTCAGTGTTGCCCAGTAGAGGAGGTATCGCCTCTTTACTTAGTTGATACCTTCATGCAGGCACCGCAGACAGCTCCATAACGAATCGTTCCAGATGATTCATAGCCAGTGCCGCCTCCGATGTTGATGGCGTTCCGGCAGAACGGAAAACTGGATAGTTGGCAAAGGTAGACATCATTTCCAACTCTTCTGTTAGGAGTCGTTGCAGATTCTCCCAACACCAGCAGATGGCTTTGTTCCGTCGCGTTAAGGTTTACTATTCAGGAATGGAAATCAGGGTTGTTGTACTTTGGGATCGGATTCCCTGCCATCCCGAGTCGTTTTCGAAGTTATGTAAAGCTAAAACCGTATAGCAGAAGGCATCTTACGGACGTGCACAAGAGTTTATAAACCTGTCATTGTTGATTGCTTGTTAAGGTTGACATAAGCTTTCTCAAAAGAGGTATCAAAAGATGTATTTATTGCATCGGAAAATTTTTAAATCTTACATTGATAAAAAATTTTGACCTTTTGACTAATATTCGCCAATTTTGCATTCACTCTGATGGCACGGATATGGCGCAACTTTTCAACAGTTAAATAAAGTGTTATGTAGGATTCTACATCATTTTTATTGGTTCTTTGCATACTGAGCTTTACCATAATGTAAACCTTACTATTCCCTACTGAAATTTCATCTCAACGGTCACATCTTGAAAGTTACTCCTGTCATTAAAAGCAGATTGCCAAAACTCTGTGAGGGTGGATTTGAAGCGCCCGTTGGAAGTGAGTGGTGGCAGAAGTGCAGGTGGAACGAGCAATTATGGTTCAGCAAGGAGGTGAGGCGTCGTGGATAAGGAAACTGGTGCCTACTCTCTATGCCATGATCTGATTAGAAGTGACATTTTAAGTTTATGGCTGTGTTTGGTTATGCTGGGCCTAAAAAACCGGTGGCAACGCCAAAGTGCGTTCTGCACTTAGCGATGCCACCAAAGATGATGAATTAAGATTGAATTAATACCACTTCAAATTTGATTAAAAGTTGATAGCAAACTCACATAATCTATGCTTCAGCCGAATTTAAGTGGCAAACTTCAATTATACCTCAAGGAGATCCCTTTGGTAATAGGTTAGCATAAAATATTTATTTTGCTTTGTGCTAGTGTTGTGAGGAGGATCGGGTAATGTAAGGCTTACGGGAATAAAATAAAGACAGCTTAGGCCTTCTTACAAATTAATGACCTTTTAAAGTTGGAAGGAAGATATTTTCAAGATGTTCACTTCTGTGGAGATGCTTCAGGTAAATATGTTTGCACTAATAAGAGCTTGGACCACCTCATTACTTTGATGTTTAGTACTTGCTTGCTCAAGGAGATGCGATTTTTACTTTTAAGGGGCAATTAAATGTCAGTTTAATGAATGGTCAGGCACGTCATTTGTTATTTAATCAGGCAGGTGACAGCAGTCACCTGAAATAACGAATTGCCACTCAGTGAAATTCAGTTAAATAGTGAAAAACCATGAATGATTCTACTCTACGATAAATTACTTGAATAGTTCTGCGATGCGTGAAATTTTCAAAGAGGTGGTGCAGTTGACCACTGGGTGCTTTTCAAGATCTCCTAATGGCGATATCTGTCAAGCGCATGCCGTAATTAGCGCCTCATTCAATTTCCGGAACTCGGTGCCACCTGCAATATTAACAGCTTCGTCAGTGTAACGTCTTTTGGATTCTTCCCACTTTGTAAACGCGTCGAAACGCCTTCTCCCCGTCTACTAATTCACGACTGCGTAAAAATCAGACTAGCATGAGGAGCACGATTACTCATTTTGGGGAAGAAGATACCGGTGACTTAGTCAGAAAGTTTTATTTCACCTTCCAAACTGGCAATCCTAGTTAGAATGAGCTTTTTTCTATCAAAAAACGGGTGGTAAATATTAAGGCACCAATGGTTCCCCATACCATCAAAATTTGCAATTGTGCACAGATGTAGTGAATACTGAGTCCATTCTGGAACACTGTAAGGTAATTCGGGTGTCCCCCGAAGCAATGCAGACCTCTCGTAATTGTGGACTGTGAATTCGTGACTATTTTTTGCAAAAACTCCCTCAACCTTGACTAGTGTTTGCTCATTTAAACCTACAAGGTATTTTCTAAGAATACTGACAATTCCTTATTAGAAAGGCTTCAGATTTCTCAGTAATTTGCAAAATGGCACTCCGAGTTCAAATGCTTCGGATAGCAAAGATTACCACTGACTGGTAAAATTACATTATTCTCATACGAGGCGAAAGTATTCTGGGAAAAAGTACGATCCTAAGTCTTGCACATATGGTAAAATCATGCACTGTAACATTTTCATTTTTTTTTCTTCTGCCTCCAGTTTCAGATTCCTGGGTAGCCAATATTGGTTAGTGGGAGACATCATGTACTGTGGTAATGAAAAGAGAGAATCGCAGTTTGTCTTCTCCTCGGAGCCTGATAACTCCTTACCGCTCACGAAGTTGGTCCGATCCTCCCATTCGCCATCGGAAAAGACGTGTTTAAACATATTTTGAAAACAACATTTCCCTTGCATGAAAGACTTTAGGTTGCGTCAAGCAAATGGGCCTAAAGATTTAACGAGCCGAGAATATGAAGTCAAATTAACTTCAAAAATCGCTTTTTAAACAAAATAAATTACATTTTGACCACAAAAGGCAGTGGTTCTTCAGTATTCATGTGTGATTTTGACTGTACTTACGGATTAAAGAAGTTAGTAAGGTGAGAAGTGAAATTCAGGTGTGTTTAAATCAGATTATCTTTTGGAAAGCAATAAAAGTTAGAAAAAACGGGCTTCATTTCATGTTTTGGTTCACTGAAAGAATAACTATTACAAGTGGAGTTTTATTCTACAGCTCAAACACTAAAACCTCCTCGTGGCTAATTTTAAAGTGGGATTTTCTCCACCTTGAACATAACACCTTAATGCTACTGCCTTCATGACCTCCAAGGAAGGAATCTGTGCTAGAGTAAGCACTCCTTTTCTTGTTTCAAACGTCACTTTTACATCTATAATTTCAGTCTATTCCAGGCAATGCTTGACGAGGCTTTGAAAGCTTTCTTCTGTTCAAGAATCGTGACTATGCGACATAGTGCATTGATGCTAGAGGCAGACCACCTCAACCTGATTCCTGCAATGTCACTTAGAGGTCAGATGTAACCTGCTCTCCTGTCGGTGTGAATTCGGATGCCTCATTAGCAAACTCGAGCTTGGGTTTCACACGCTCAGGAGAATCCTCAAGGCACGTTGGGGTTAATAGTTGTTTATTTTAAAGCATTACTGTCTTCCTCCTTACCCTCCTTAAGCAATCCTGCCTTTCTAATTTACCTTGCCGTTGTATTTTCACATCACAAGAGCCTTCTGAAAAGAGGGCCATGTCACTCCTATTTTCCCCATGAGAGTTTCTGTCGTAGCTTAGGGTTTTCTTGCCATCTCTACAAAAGTCGAATTTAGGTACTGCTGCGGAGATGCAATTCTATTTTTTCAACTATTCACTATCTATTGTTTATGAAAAGACAAGGGTTTGTAAAATTGAATGCTGACCAAGTTTTTTATCTAACCATTATTTGCCCACCTCCAAATATTCCAGAAGTTGTTGCTATGCTCCTCCACTGATCTAGGAGGACAAAATGAAGTTAATTTATTGTAAATGTGGCGTATGAAATTTAATTACATTTCAATAGGAATTTTTGAAACATTGCATTAAGTTGTCAATTGGAATAGAGTAGGAAAACCCGAAATTCTAGTTATATAATTGAAGCTTTGTTCAAGACAGATTAACATAGCCTTCTTTAGCCCTCAATAATGGAATACCCTAGGTCATGACCCAGGATTTGTTCTGGGGATCTTTAACCGATAATTATTCAACCTCCTATAAGAAGCCATTTACACGTTAGGAGTGGTTACTACTCTCAGCATAAAGTATTTTTATAGAGAAGGATTAAGTGCATTAAGAGGGAAGCAAAAAGAGGATCAACCTAAGTGATCCAACTTTCTTCAAGCAGGCGCAACCCACTTCAGAGGTTGTTGCACCTACGAAAGTCCTGCTGAAACCCCATAGCATAGCAACGAAGTCTCATACACCTTCTTAGCCAACCGTTCCCACGAGTAGAGGAGAAACTCAATTACCCTCAATTATTGTTAATGGAGTCAGGTATCACAGATAACGCCGTGTGGATTTGAAACTATCAAACACACTTAAGTACTTTATTTGTACTAGTATAATCCAACTCTACATTAGAAAGTGGGAGTGCTAATAGTACCATCATACTCACTTAATCTACTAGAAAATAAACGTTCAAGTCCAGGTCATAAACATGGTAATGCTACTTTTAGGGTGGAAGTTCTTCGGTTACTAATTTTCAAATCTAATACGTGTATTTTAAGCATTTCCAAGCATTTATTCTTCTGACTTGAATGTTAACTTTATAGATGGTTCACGGCTAGTATCGCTTCAGGTGTCAATAGGATCCCTGCGGACAAGCAGACATCATTTTCAACTCTTCTGTTAAGAGTCATTGCAGATTCTCCCATTCGTAGCATATGTTCATCTTCCGTCACGCTAAGGTACAGAATTTAGTAATAGAAATTAGAGGTATTTGCCTTTTAGCATCGAATTCGCTCTCTGCTGCCACCAATGTAGTGCACTGAGTCTTTCCTAAAGACGAAAGAAGTTACCCCACAGAAACAGCAAAGGTATTGCTGATGTAAAGAAGAGCTAAGGATGGTGGCTACTAGCACTACCCAGAAGCCAGGCCGCTCCGTGACAACACAATGGCTGAGCCCTAAGTAATCCTTTCCTAAAACCGAGAGTAAAAAAACAGTATTACAGTATTCAGCGCAGGTTTTGAACACATCAATGGGGAATATGACATGGGCACCTACTATTTTTCTGTCAAGTACTTCCGAACAACTTGGAGAATATCCAAAGAACTATTTATTAAATTATAAACAAATTTATGTTTCAAAAATAAAAGAATTTGATGTTTATGCAATTGGCTGTACTGCTAAAGAAGTGTTCATTCAACAGGTCGGTTAGCCTTTAATTTAATACGTATCCTTTTGTTTTGTTGTTCAATCATAGCGTTAACAATGCGGTCTAATTCCCTGTCTTTCTGTTGAGGTGTCAAGGTCTCGTCATGGGTGACTCGTCTAACCCATCCCAACCAATCAAAGTTGTCAGGCTCCAAAGTGCCTTCACTCTCTGATAGACTTAACTTCCTATTTTCTTCTAGACACTTTACCTTTTCAAGCTCCTGATTTGATTGTTGGGTCTTTTGATTGTCGACCTCTTCCACGGTTTTTCTTGAGTCAGTTTTAATCTGACTCTTCAAGCACATACTGGTACTGCTTAAATCTACTTGATGCTTTGTCTGTCCATCCGCCAGGACACAGTCGTGCTCTGCCTTTGGTAAACAACTTTTTAACATCGGCCGATTTGTAGTTTCAGCTGAAGATGAGAGAGGGATCTCATTCCTTCTGATATTTCCCATTCTCACTCGTTCAAGTTCCTTGATTAATTCACTTGTGGCATTCTGCAGCATTTCATCGGTGAAAACATGTTGGTCGGCTTTGGGTGGGTTACATCGGGTGTCCAGTCTTCTTCGTTTATTTGGACTACAGCCGGAGTTGTGGCAGACTTTTATCGAATCAGTAATGCGGTTCAGTTCTTCTTCAAAGGCAGCCATCAGAATGCTAGTTTCCTTACATCTCTTCTCCCCTACTTGATCCTCGAAATTCACGGTGTTTGAGGCGCTACTTTGGCAATCGCCATAACCAAATGTTCGCGGGCCAGCGGGTTGTGATTGTTTAGTGCTCTTCCCTTTGATGTGCTCACAAGGCTGGTTACTCTGCAAGATTTCCAACAGCTGAAGTTTTTTAGATTCTGGAATTGGTTCATAATTTTGGAAATTGGCATGAACGAGTAAGTCTTTGTTTTTTCTTTCTCTCACGTCTAAAGTTTGAGTTGATACAGCTTCTGTCACTGCTCCTACCTGCACAGTTGATTCAGTTAATAAACATATACGAGGCCGGATGGTCAAGGTAACCAGCTTCGATATTTCAAACGATTTCTTTTGACAAAAGCCAACATTTTCCTTTCTCAAACTATTTTCCTCAGTCTGCATAGATGAATGCCTCTTGGGGTGAAGATGAGGGGAAATATTCACAATTTTTAGCTCTGAGATGACAAAGACTTTATTTCTTAAAGAAGTAGAAGTTTTAGAGTTTTGAGCCGCGATTATCTTGTCCAATCCACTGGTGGAGACCCTCCTTCTCAGGATAAGATGTTTCCACATTTTCCAAGGCGCAGTGCCTGTTTGTTCGTGTCTACCATGAGGATCGGATTTGCTCGCAGAGCAATCACCATTACCCATTTTTATCACGAGTTAAATAGAAATTTCCAATCGATAATTCGACTTTTAGCATTGTAGTTAACAGTGTTGTGACCTCAAAGTATCGATTTTTAATTGGTGAGTTATCACGCAGTGATAGGTTGCAGAGACACTGTTCTTTCGCCTACGATAAATGCTTTTTCTATGCTGTGTTCTGCAAGCCAGAAAAACAGCATTTTATCGTGCGATTGAGGCGCGTATTGGTTTCACTATTTATTGCCCTGTGAATTAACTTTTTTATCGTAAAAAGGGCCAGTAATTAAGCAGAAATCTTAGCAACTTCTTCTTGTCCTAGTAACGTGTTGAACGACTGGCTGGGTTGGTTTTATACTTTTCTTTATTTGATTTAACATTCAGATGTCAATGCTGAAAAAATGCATATTTTTGCCACTGATTGATGATCTGAATTAAATTTGGCTTATTTAAAAATCCTTGATTGCTTAAAGCCAAATCTTAAATAAGAATATCGCCCTTCTGAAAAAGCTTGGTCTACCTCGAAGTCGAAAGGAGCCACAATACTGAGGAAGAAATTGCATTACCAACGCACAGAATTAATGAGGGGCTTCCAACATGTTTTTAAGTGCATTAGCGGAGCCTTAAGTGTCCACTTTCCCAAATTGAAGAGTTAACCAAGTAAAGTATAACAATTAAAAATTTTCATATCTTTGAAATAAAGCTGATAGAGGAAGTGGAGTATTAATGCAGCATTCCTCTCTAAATTTCAAGTATTGTTTCATTTTTACTATCAGGAGAATGGTTAAGTGATTTGTATGCTTGTTCTAAATGACTAGCACCGAATAAATCGGAAATAAATAATTACCTATCAACGAACTGAAACACCCCAAATCATGTTTTAATGCGTTAGTTGTTTTTTTTTTAACTCCCGGTTTGGGAAGAGGGACCACTTGGGTGCTTCACCAGTGTACTTTCGCCGGGTGGACTGGCCTTCGGGCCATGCCAGTAGCCTGCAAGCCCTTCTGATGTCGAATTTACATATTCTGCCCGAGTATTATGTCGTCGTTGGTCTTCAGTGAAGTACTCAGGGTCTATAATTGGGGTATTTATGATAATTTGTTTTATGCTTATATTTAGTCTAAAAAAATACTTTTGAAGTTAATTTTCAAACTGTACGAACTCACCTTTTTTGGGTTCAACCATTATAGCAAAATTGGTTAGCTTAATCATTATAAAGGCTTATAACAGTTTAGAAAACCTGCTCTCGTTCAATGATTATGTGTTAAGATGCAAGTTTCCATTGCTTCAAGGAAGCAGCATGCTTAAAGGAGGGTGGAATTGCAGTTCTGCCGATTAAAGTCACAATGCAATCTCACACGTGTTTACGCATAAGCAGATTAACATAAGTGCCTGTGCTACAGAAAGTCTGTCTAATAGCGCCAGTCTAGTCAGCATACAAGAGTTTCTCGCACACCCTAGACTTTTGGAAAAATCCTTGAAGCAGCCAAATCATTGAGCTGTTGCCATACAGTCTTAAAAGTGCAATATGTGGCTATAATGGCATTTAGTTCTCGGTACTTTTTCTCTCTCCTAATTACTTAAGGTTTAAAAAATCATCACCTACGCAATTCTGAGTAATATATTTAAGTAGTTTGTAAAAAATGAACAAATGCGACGGCTTTTAATTAAAACTTAGCTGCTACTCATTAACTAGTGTTGTTGTAACGTAAAATCCAAGGAAGGCATTTTAGGAAGATTGTAATAGTCTAGTTGTTAATTTGTTTAATTCTTCGTTTTAGTAAAGAGGCCACTTGGGTACTTTAGCATTGTGCCTTTGCCGAGTGTGCTGGCCCCTGGGCGATGCAAGAGGCCCCAAGCCCTACCGTAGGTTGATAATATATACATATACATTCTCCCCTGGTATTGTATTCTTTCGTCTTCAGGGAAGTCTTGAGATGATAAATTGGTGGCAAAGGAAGGCGAAAATGATCTCACAGAACTTGTCTTGATTTCTGCTGATGGGTGATAAGCCGTAATTGGGCGGATGAATTGCATATACTGCGGATGGAGATTACGTGATGCCTCTTAACAGAATAGATGAAAATGTCTACCTTCGACAACTACTCCATTCCCGTGGTCTGCAGGAAGGTTATTAACAACTGAGGTCTCATTACCCGTGAGCCATCTGAAAAAAATAGTTACGAAGCTAACTTTCCTGCATGAAGAAATCAAATATTTGAAAACGCGATGCCTCGTCCACTTCTATGGTAGCTTGATAGAACTTAGATAGATATGGCTGGGCATCTCTGAAATGAGGACAACGCAGAGTGGAGAAATTCTAGCGACTAGCTATGGGCACTCCTGATGGCCAGTCCATTTCCCCTTCCCCGAATTCATTTCCCAAACAGGAAGAAAACTATAATCAAGAGAAATGTAAAGGAGAATTAGTATGTTACGGTCAAGTATTTTTGCAATTGCACAAGAATTCGATGATTGGTGAGGTTGGCTTCTGTGTATTTCTCCTTGCAGCATCAACTAAGTTTTGCGGCCATCAAGCAAAGTTAACTAAGGGAAGCGCCGAGGACGACGCTCAAAAGCGGAGAGGGGTTGCACAATACGTCGATTGCTTGTTTAACTCTCGGCCTTGATAAAGAGGTTACTTGGGTGCCCCGCCGTTGTAACTCTGGCCCACGGCCTGGCCTTTGGGCCATGCTAGTAGCCACCAAGTCCTTCTGTACGTAGGCGATGCATATTCTGCCCGAATTGTTTGTCTTCTTTCGTCTTAAGGGATGTCTTGGGGCGCTGCAAGATGACCTTATTGATAATCTTTCACAAACACTTGAAAATGCGAATACATTTTACTCAAAAACCAAAGAATAGCGAGAAATGTATGTTACTCAGTGGACTTTTAAATAAAAGAATTAAATGCGTGAATCCAATTAAAATTTTCAATCACGAGGTGTGGCACCACAATCAGAAGTCGAATGCGGCTTGATGGGGCGTCATGCACTTGAGTGGATGGGGCTCCACGCGCCAACAGCTCGTGCCTTTAGTGCCTCATCTTCTGCCTCAAGTGTGTGATCCCCTTCAGCCATGAGCAAGGTGCTTGGAATCAGTGAATAAAGTGTTTTTACCACCGCAACTTGATGTCACGTAAAAGAGCAACATGCTGAGCTCAGTATGTTCTGCGTGACAAATTAATCATCTGATGCTTTGTGTGCGATTTCCTACTTAGTGATTCCTATGAACTACACTGTCTGTTTTAAACCATAGCGATTCTTTACAATCAACACAAATATAACAGGTACTCCTAGAAAAGCAATACAATTTTATGTATCAATAGTGAACTAATTATAAATACTAATAGTAGCTTCCTCATAATAATGCTTAAAAACTGTCTCAAGTCAGTTGCATTCCTTAGTAGATTCACTATCCAGGTCATTTATAGGTATACACGATAGGAAATTGGCAGACTGACCGAACAACTACACAAGACATAGGTGGAAGAATGGCGAGGCGAATTATCTACCAATTGTTGGAATTACTTTGACCTTAAATATAATCCCATAATAGAATATGATTTATTTTTTCACTCATAATCAAAGTCAGTGGGATTCTCTATCAAGATACATGAATCAGCTAGTACTAATGAATCAGCTCCACCCATACCTGTGCGGTATGCACACAAGTGTCAAGCCGCCCCACCAAAGATACTCTTCTCACCAGATTTTGATGACATTCCACTCATTCCTACCCTAATACCTAATTTATTGTCATCTATGAGGGTAATTAATATGTTGCTTTTTGGGTATGCAGCGGTTTTAGGGGTCACATCTCTTGGAGGCGTTTTCAATTCTTCATTAGGCACTTCATGTAATATTTCACCTTCGCAAAGATACTGAAGCGTGTAATTTACCTCCCACTTTCATGATTGGATAAGGTAACCGGAATTATTTCAGCTGTGGAAATGAGCTAGGCTTTCTGAATGTGTTCAATACGCAATGCTATTTTCGCTTACATTCCAGGATTCTCCGTGTTAGTTGGGTTTGAGAGTCCGAACGTAGTCGGTTCATGGTCGACTTTGAAAGATGGTGCGTTGGGAGAAATTCTGCGTTTCCAAACAATTCGTTGTTCGAGCATTATAAGCAGCATAATACTTTGGTTATTCGTCCAACTTCATTTTGGTTTCGTGGTCACTTAAGGCCATGTCTTTGTACTTCTGCTTAGCGGAATGGCCTCCGGGACGCGAAAGAAGCCCCCAGTTCTTCTGTACGTCGGCAATACATATTCTGCTCTAGTATTATGACTTTTTCGCCTTCCGGAAAGATTCAGAGAGTTGCATTAGTGGCAATGGAAAGTAAACCCCCTTCATTCCTGAATGCTAAACCTTGATGGGAGAAAGCCCTATGGTGAGGATGGGTGAGTCCGTGACGACCCCTAACGGAAGAGTTTAAATTGACATCAACCTTCGGTGACTACTCTAGTCCCTTGATTTACAGGAATGCTATCAGCAAGTGAAGCGAAACTAACCGTAAAAACACGATGCCCCTCCACCTGTCTACCAGCCGCATAGAACCCGGATAGATGTGGCTGGGCAGCACTGAAGTGAGGACAAAGTCACAAGGATGATTTGATGGGATGTTAACACCCGTTATTTGCTTTTATGCTAGTGTTCCTACGACTGCTGATGGGCATATGAGATCGTCAGCACATTTCTCCTCCCCTTAATGTAGTTCCCGTACAAAACGATACACCAGATCCAGTAGAAATGGCAAGAAGAACCGCTGACATTGTGGTCAAATATCTCAGTTGCATGCGAATTCGATAAATGGCTCATGGGTGTTTTTTTTCCTTACGACACCAACAACACTGTGATGGCAGATGCGGGCAGTTGACCAAGGGGAGCGCGGGAGACGACGCTCAAAAGAGGGGACGAGCTACTTAATGCTTTGTTTGCTTAACTCTCGGTTTTGGCAGCGAGCCACTTAGGGCTACACCATTGTACCTCAGGGCTTAGCCAGTAGCACCCAACCCTTCTCCACACGGAGACATATTCTACTCCTGTATTATTTTTTCTTTCGTCTTCAGGAAAGACCGGAGTCGCTACAAGTGCCTCTCTTTCTTGATTACTCAATAACACTCATTACATTCTTTCGCGCTGTAATTTAAGGATTATAATAAGTTGTAATATACACATATGTGTATCAATACCAAAATTTATGCACAGCCCACTCACACAAATGGCTTACTTGCAAAAAAATCCCAGCAAAATCGTATTAAGCCAGATTCACACATCTGTACCATTTCATATAACTTAAAAGCAAATATATATACATATTATATATATATATTTGACAATTTCGTAGCGATACCAAATTCTTATTCGTGATTAGCTGCTACGTGACTTCAGACGCCTACCTCTTAAGGGCTCTTGTCCACAAATTCAATGCCAAAACCTACCATTAAGAAGTTGACGTAAAGTGCTGAGATTCAACATTAAGTCTTCGCTCAACAAATTCCAAAATTTCTATTATTTTAAGGTGCTTCATCTCAGTTCTGATCTAGTTATCCACCTTTTGTTCAATCAAACTTTAATACAGCAAAAAACCACCTAATACCTCGATTCAGATTCTTCTCATTTTTCTATATTGTTACATTCAGGACAACTGTAGCAGCAGCAGAAGCAAGATTACGCCGTAATTACTAAAGGAATCAAGGGTGTAAATCTGACTTAGATATCTCCTCAAAAGTCATTTCGATAACTCAATGATCACACCTTCTCAAGCAAGCCAATGAGATACCAGATTATAAGCTAAATCAAAGTTGAATAAACTACAAAAGAATTGAAGAAAATAAGGATGTTTTACTCCATCAACCTAAGTACATCCAGTGGAGCCAAAAATTACTTCCCACAGGTTGGTAACACGTTGTCTCAGTTCGAAGCGCCACCGTATTACTTCTTCAGAAAAAAAAATTAACTGCTTAAGATAGTTAGGAAGACAAAAGAGAAATAAGTCAATTGACAAAGTGACCATCAAGTCAAGAAACCGCCTTTCTCATTCCATCACGCATAGCCCTGGTAGTATTGCGGCGACCAGTTGTAGTACATGGGCGCTTGTGCGTACTGCGGTTGCTGTAGCTGGGTGTAGGCAGACAGCTGGGGTGTGACCTGTGCGTTGGGGGGAAGCACAATCGAGATTTGCGGCTGATTATTAGGATCGTAGTAATCATCCGCTGACTGCTCCTCAGCCATTTGGGCAGGCTGTGGGGCTTCCTGTTTTGGTGCCTCAAGCAGAATTATCATCGGTTGTTGCGGCTGTTGGGGCTGCTGCAACTGCTGTGATTGTTCCTTTTTACTCGATCCACGATGTGACATTTCTGTTATTGAAGAGCGGGCTCGTGAATGAGCTGACGAGTAACAGCACACGCTCCTGTACCGACAGTTGGAGTTTCTAGCTCCGCTATGGCAGCATTGTCCCGATGGGTGTGACGGTGTCGACGGTTCCGGGGGTTTTGAAGGCTGAGGCACGGAACGGTGAGTAGAGCGTTGTTGTTGTGGTTGTGGTTTTGGACGTCGATGTCGAGAGGGAGGCTGCTGACGCTGAAACGTCCTCTCGTACCCGCCGTCAGAGATCCACGAGGCGACGCCTGAAGATGAGCTAGTCTTGGAAGTGCGGGAGCTGCCTGATCCGTCGGAGTACACTGGAGATGTGTCCCGTTTGCTCTGGTGCCTCGACTTTGCACGACGATAGTGGCGATGAGGCTGCACTTCCCGAATGACCTCCTTCACCACCGTATGGTAGGGTGGTCTATCATGGTAGCTCATGGGAGGAGGGAAAATAGGTTGAGGGGGTGGGACAGGAGTGACTTTCTGTTCGCTCTGTGCAGGAACCAGAGATTCGGGCTTTTTCGGTGGAGGAGTTGACTCTGATGGCGGTATGGTGGGTAGTGGTGTGACTGGCTTCTTCGGAGCACTTGACTTAACCTGCTCTTCAACTTCTTGATGCTGAACTGAGGCCTTGACGATTACGGGTACCTTCACAACAATAGGATCAATGGGTTGGTCGTTAAACCGTTCGGCCTCCTTGGCGGGATTTGGAATAATCTCGAGATGCGTCTTTGGGACGTGTCCCGTACGACCAGAGGGGGCTCGCAGGCACCACCAAGAACCCACGTCATCCAAAACCTGGGAAGAAGTGGAAAAAATACTTCTTTTTCGACTCGACACTGTTAATATCCGAAAGTGTCAGGAGACTTAGCATCAGTAAAAGTAGAACATATTGTCGAATTTTTGGTGCGATCTAAAAAATGAATCCATTCGAATAAGAAGAAATCCAATGATCTGTTTACAAGAATGGCTAATTGCCAAAAGATGAACCAATGCTTTGCGGTAATTAATTAGACCTAGACCTGAAGAATTTCGTCCATTTATATTTTTAGATATGTTATCGATTTACATAATCACAAGTCGCATATTTTTGATGATCTGAGATAGCACTTAACGACAAGGGCTTCTGTCACCTAGTGTCAATTTTCATTCCCAGATTTAATGCTAGTTGAAGTGCAAGTATTCGCCTGTCTAATGATAAGCTGATAAAAACTGATTAAATATACATTAGGAAATTTGATAAAATGAATCAGTAAGTAAATACTGGTCTTCTTTCAAACCAGGGAGCCATTCTTGTATGTCAAGGGGATTGACAGTACCTTGAGAGAAAAGTGCATAGATGATGAGGCATAAGCAATTTTACTTATATTAAAGCACTTACGAGTCATTTAGTTGATTCATTGCACGCGTATAATCAAACTCTAGCTCTAATGAACGGTGTGATTAGAGGGGAGGGGGGGGGGGGGGGTAAAANACCGAGGGAACCCAATTTCTACTTGAATTGCAATGGCATATGAAGTTTATTAAATTGAGCCCTTGCTTCAATTAGAAAAAAAACTTGATAAAATCTCAAGGCGAATTTCAAATTATCAGTGCCCATTGAAGAGATGAAGGCAGTTAGTACCTGACGTAAGTGGTCCCCCAGATGACATTATGGGTTCCACAATTGACTCAGCAACGCATAAAATAACAATGAATCTCCATACTCCCTATCTGATGCTGAGTATAGCGCTCACTGGGAAATTTTATTTCCATGAATCAAATTAACCAAATTGCGAAGGCATGGTAATAAATCTAGCAAATTTTCACACACGCCACCACTTTTCAAAGCCGTAATTAGCCAAATAATCATCCCCCTAATGACTACCGAGTGACAAGCACTCGACTGAACCAATGTCTCGATGGAAATGCCTTGCTCCCATCTCTCATATTTTCTCAACGACTTCTTTACGTAGTGAGAATTACTTGACAGAGATGCTTCAAATTCGTATCGCAAAAAACTGTCCCAATGAATTAAAGTTCCTCCACTTCTCACGTCCGCAGAACAATAATTGGCACATAACCCACTAGTCTAGAATTGGAAACCGCAGTGAGCTTTGTCAAGTACAAGATTGCTCTGACAGCACAACACATTAGTAGGCATTGGTAGGACATGATAAATATAGCAGCTTTCTTCCTCGGTGAAAGCGTTAAATTAAAGAAAAAAATTCATCCCGATTTAACTCAGCATTGCTAAGGGAGAATTATAGCGGACTAGCCTTCTAATGGCAATTTTCACAGGTCAGAAAGTGACCAAGCCTTGGGTGATTCACAACACCTCAATCAGATTGGCCAGTCTAGTGAAATCCTTATTACTTTTGTTACGATGCCATGAACCACCAGAACTGGAACTGTCACTGTCTAGGCATTAACTAAAGTGGCCAAATGTTCCCCAGTTTTACTGTTTTACCTCTATGAAGATAGTTTCACGATAATTTCAACAAAGCATAAATGTTAAAGCACTCACCTAGGACTACTTGTGTCTTAGCTGAAATCCGTATTCGGCCATTCCGTCATATTTTTTATGAAATTAAACACTCATTGTTTTGAGTCAGATTTGGTGCACATGAATTTTCTTGTGTTTAATCACAGTATTTGCAGCACACAGCCCTCAGCCATCACAGAGGAAAGGTCATGAGCCTGGGTGATCAACCAACTATCCTCAACAAATGTATATTTCCACTTTAAAGTGGCACAAGTGTGACTGATAGTTATCTACACCCATATGATGGCTTGTCGAAATGAAAAATAAAAAGAGATTATACATGTGAATTACTTGAGTTTTGCCAGTAATTTATACCATCACGACGGAGTTTGTGTTCTTGATTTAAGTGCACAGAAACAAATTTGTTTTTAGAAAAGTAACCAATTACCTCGAAAAATTCCCCAGGTTGAACCGAAAGTTCCTTATCGTTTCGTGCCCTGTAGGATTTCTGGGCGATCGCCAAACTGAAAATGGAAGGAACTCTTTACTATCGCCTGGTTTTCCCTGACTATTCCAACTGCACCCGTGTCTGCGTGGAATGACAAAATCTAGTTCATTGTGCATCAGGATCACGAAACTTAAACTAAGTTTTATCAAAACTCTGCTCTACCTTTAATCTTATTTAACATCCCTCACTGCTTCATTTAATAGTTCATAAATGATTCACCATCCAAGGAATAGCATAAATTGTCGAGGATCAGTTCCTACAAAGTCACGCCTCTGAGACATTGCTAAAAGCAGGCATCCAGCCTTAAAATATTTTTATTCCAAACACAACGCAATATTTTAACGAGGCAGTTATTATTATATTTTGACAAACAAACGCTACATCCGCATTTTTTAATCGCATTCATGAAATAAAGACATTAATGGAGTAGTAGGAAGTAACCTGTTCACTCCTGATCCGGTACCAGTTATTATTGGGCATTACGATATGCAATTGTTGGCCAAAAAGCTTTTCTTACAAAGATTTAATTTGTTTGTTAATTATCCCCTTTTTTAATTTCCAACTCGATAATTAATCAAAGTGTATTAAAATCAGCGTTCTTTTTATGACACTTTAGGGAATGAACTCCACAGTCAAATAAGCACGGCGATATAGGGGTGTGACATAAGGTCAGCAAAGGAAGTAAAGTGAGGCACCATTCGCGAAATTTACTCGACGGTAAGTCCTAACAGGTTACTAATGCCTTCATCCACACGGTGCCATCAATGCCAACTTCAAATGACGTGCTGCGTGGTTGGTTATGCGAGAGTGATGCGTCTAAAACGCCAGCCGTGAACAGGTTAATGGTTGGCGAATGATCTCGAAGTGCCCACTCACACAACTTTTGTGATAATATAATTAATCCTCATTATTTGCTCTAATTTGCTTATGTGAATGCAAGCGTGCCAAACGAAGGAGAATAACAGTTTACAGCCAGTGACGGGATGTCAGTAGAGTATATTGAAAGGGAAAAACGTGATGTATTGTAACAGTAGGCTTGATTATTAACGGCACCATGTGAATATTTGCTGCTCCAAGGGGTCCACCTTAATGCCTCTCTCTCTCTCTCTCTGGGAGGGTAGTGTGGAATGGCGCACACACTGGAAATCGTTTCAACGAGGCCATCAGTATTGATCGTCTGGTGCTTTGAAGTGCCGAAGCATTCAACCTAAGGACTCAACCTGTGGCTCATTTCCACTTTCAAGACTGTTAAAAGGCTTACGGGCTAATCACCAGGAAAATTGACGTACTGCTTACGAGCACATAAGAAACAGCTTAATCATATAGTTAACAGAATGATTTTATGCTTATCTGTGGAAATTTGAGGTGAAGCTCTTATTTAAGCAACAATGGCTCAAACGAAAACCAAACGCTAACTATCCTCTGTTTCAGAGCAACAAGCAGCAGAATTGAAGAACCTAGGTATTTAGGTATCTATGGAGTTAAAAATAGCACATCTGTCAGTTGATTCCTTATTGTTTAATTCCCAATCACAACTGTAGAGGTGCATTAATTACGCGTTAACAACCTCTAGATTAATCTAAGTGGGAGAAATGCACCAGCCTGGTAATTGGTGAACAAAATGAGCAGGGAAAATATCGATGAAAAGCTTCGGCCACTTAATCAAACAAACCCGGTAATACGTAGGTGTAATGAAAATCAATTCTGAAAGCCAACCAGGAATCCAATATTCGTTTACTTCTATTAGAAACAAATTTCCGTTTGAATGGAATTATTAAAGCCTGGAAATGACTTAAAGTGCTAAATAAAGGTTCATTCTTAATTGTAGTAGAATCCATCATGACTTTCAAAATATTTCAGTATTCGGATGCATTAGTGGGAAAGCATCGGAAAAGAAAGGCAACAAGGGAAACCAAATTCGTGTCATTAAACTGTTCAGACAATCTAACTTCTCCAGAAGGCTTTAGAGAGCTCATACTTCCGACTATGGACTATCGCTTGAGGTGAAAAGTAAAAAAAATTAGTGAATCTTTAATTTTCACTCACACTTAATTAATACCCACGTAATTTAGGCTCATGTACACCTGGATACCGCCCAGAGTGTCTTTTGACTCAGTTACACTTTACCAGTGCCATCTACTTGCATCTTAATCTACAAAGCCGCACCAGAAAACGACCTAGGCATTCACCCTTGCATATTACACCCTCTGACACAGAAAAGGGACAAAGTATAAAAAGTAGTAATGCTCAGACTACCACGCGAATTCGGTGAAAATGTGAATATAATCACATTTGCAATAATGGTTGATGCATATGCATTTTTCAAAAATGAATCTAGTGGCTTGCCACTTGAACAGCAATAAGCTTCACAATTTTAAACTAGGAAATGTGGACACCAAAGACCCTAAGATGTGGGACACAACACGTCAAGACCAGAAACTTCATGGACAAAACATAACACTGACTTGAGTAAACGATTCTCTTTCTTAGATTTTACTCCTTTAGAATAAAATATGATTCAAAGCGAAGAAGACTGGCGCTACGATAAAATGACAACGTAATATACCTTTTCATTCGTTCATGGACAGACTCAAAAAATTCCTCAAGTTCCGGCTGTGAGGGCTGCAGCGTCCGACGTGCGTGGGAATCTATAAGTCATGGTGAGATGAGGATCCTGTTTTACCTGATTTCCTTTTACCTCCCATCCTCTTTTTCATTGACTTGGTGCGTTAGAATGCTTGGAAGGTCTAGAAAAAAAATTAAAACAGGAAAACACCAAAAAATGCTTTTCATATGCAAAAAACTCGGATGGAACAGACAAATTTAACCAAGAAATAACTGTTTACATGTAAGATATGCCAAAAACTTTGCTGTTTTAGACCTCAACAAAAAATATGTAGACCTATAAGTTTGGTAAAGGCGCATTAAAATACACTATGCGTTTATATGGACCAAAGTTTAAACATTTGGTATCCCATATTTTGGTGTTTAAGTCATATCGTCTGAATAATTCAAATAGGCAAACGAATTCTTGGATTAGACTGTTTTTGAAGGATAGATTCCTACAAGCAAACAAAACTGTGCATCAAACATTACACACTCAGTAACAAATAGCGTGCACTAGACGCATCCACTGAACAATAACAAGAGTATTTATGAATCGTGTAATATGAATAGCATGCGTCTTGTAAAAAGGGCATCGTCAGAACTTCTATAAGTGAAACTTTTCCAATAAATTCAAAATACAACCCCTAGGATATCTGGAGGAAAGAAATTACCCTCACTATAAAGATGCAGTGCAAAAGTAAACCATTTTGAAAATAACACAAGAGTTACATAATGTAGAGAAAAGTGAAGCAAAAGCATAAAATAAGAAAAGAACTATCCAAAATAGCCATTTAATCAAAAATTAATTGTAAATAAGCTGCAATATCAGGCACAAAACACCTCTCTTTATGATGAACACTTTATGGATGGCCTACTTAAGGACTTGGTAAAATAAATACAGGCGGCCCGAAATTGATTATCGAAAGATGTACAGCAGTAAATGTTACACATACTATTGCTTCAAATTGCCAAAAACTCCCAAACAAACAATAGCTGTTTTGGACTATTGCGTAAAACAAGGTCAGATGAAACCAGTTGAAATTGTTGAATCAAAAAAACAGCTTATTCAGAAGCAAAAGCAGCATTTCTATAGGGTCAAAAAAGGAAAAGCGCAGAGTTCACAAACAATTTAAAGTGAGAAGTAAATCGACCACACAACCTGAATTAAAACAACCAGACTGCCCCTCAATCTTCGGGTCAGCCGCTGACTAAAGTCGAATGCGTGTTTGGATTAGTCAAACAAAAAAAAGACAGAACACAAAGACAGACTGTCCTACAAAAAAAACCTTGCAAAAATTACAATTTAGCTTTAGGGCCTTATTTGGAGTTTTCATTTTGTTTACGAAGGCTACTGAAAGAACACACTACCAGTGGAGAAAAATAATCAACCAAAAGCTTTGGCAAAACCACAAACCCAAGACCTAACAATTAAAAAATGCTTTATTTTATTGCAACCTAAAATATTTTTTAGGACCGAACTGTGCAAAAGAGTACATATTACTAACTTATAAAGACGCCAGAATCCTTTAAGATAAGAATACAAAAGGGTTGATAACTGAATAACGACTGCAGTTCTTAAGTCAGGCCATTATCATCCTGATATATGTACTTTGGTTAAAGAAATCCTTTTTCAAGTGCCAGAAATAAGAATCCAAATTCACACAAAGAAAACATCTTTTCTTAATTGCTATGTTAGATACTAATTGCACTAAAAATGCTCAAATTGACACTTATCTTTGGCATTTATAATAATAATTTTGTCTTCTGCAATACGGCTGTAAAAATGCTGCAAAACTAGACTTGAGCGACATACATTGGTCCATTCTGTTGTAGCGTCCCGACAATTCCTTGAAGACGAAAGAAGACACAATACTCGGGCAGAATATATGTATTCAGCATAGAGAAGGTGTCTGGGCTGCTGGCGTGGCCCTAAGGCCAGCCCACCCAGCGCGGTACAAGGAGGCATATCTAAAAGCACAAAAGTGGCGTCTCACCAATACCGAGGGATAAACCACTAACGTATTGCAATGTAATACGATAGTGGTTTATCCCTCGGTTCTGGTGAGGCGCCACT